CTATACCAAGCAGGGCACTACATGGACCAAGGTGAAAGATTCTTTAACAGAGGATATAACCATGCACAACAGTGGGTAAACAACAACCAACCGCAACCGCCTCAAACGTGGGGAATGTAAAGTTTTTTACTGAGATGAAATGAACAATACAGCTTTGAGACAAATGGGTTCAAGATGGATTTGTCGACTTCCAGCAGTTACACAACCACGTGTTTGTCAAGTTCTTCCTATACCTCAGGAAGTTTTAGACCGACTTAAAAACCTAAACAACCAGTTGAAAACAAACCAAACTAAAATTTTTTACTGAGATGAAATGACCGAAGAAGTTGAAACGGTAGATTTGACACCACAAACAAAAAGTTCAGAACCATTGTCAAAACCTGTCAAAGAACTTACAGATGAAGAGAAAAATTCAATAATAGAAAGTGCCAGGTCTGGAAATACAAACCCTAACTACAAAGTCACTTTTCATAGAAATGGAACGGCTAGTATCTCAAAAAAGAAACAGACTCTCACAAATAAAATATTGAAGTCTGAAGGAGTTAAAGAGACAACAGATGGGAAGGTATACTTCACTGACCAACAGTTCATTATAGAACATCTCATTGACTTAGAGTCGAAATATTCTAAACTTTACAACAAACACAAAAAGTTGAAAGGAAAACAAAAACAAATGGCATATGATATTTATGAAGATGTTGACGACACAACTATTCCTGCAAGTGAAGTAAAGTCAGCAGAACCGAAAAGTGACGAAAAACCGATAGAAGAAGAAAAACCAATAGAAGAAGGTGAGCCAAAACCAAAGTTTAGTCTGGAGACTAAACCAAGTCAACCTTCATTAGCTGGTATGGGTTGGCGTCAAAGACTTATGGCAGCGAACGGTTATGTAAAGTAAAGGAAAAACATTTTTTTATTTTTATTTGAACTGTACGCTGAGTTTTGTTGGAGAAGACCGTTGGGAAACTTGTTTGTTAGATGAGAAATATGAAATGGCATACCATTTAAAACAAAATATTTTTAAAAAACATTTTTTTATTTTATTTGAAATGTACGCTGAGTTTGTTGGAACAGACCGTTGGGAAACTTGTTTGTTAGATGAGAAATATGAAATTCACTGTTGTGAGTCATTTGAAGTCAGAAACAAAGAGACAAAAAGAGTTTTAAGCGAATGGGAGCGAAATAACGGATATACTACTATGAAGATGGGTGGAAAACACTATTTTAAACATGTTGTCATTGCAACTCATTTTATACCGAATCCTAACAATTTACCTTTTGTAGACCATATAAACCGTATAAGAAACGACAATAGACTTGAGAACTTGCGTTGGTCACTCGTTCTGAAAACAATAAGAACAAAAGCAAATTTCGAGATATTGTATTCGAATTTGTCGACGAACTAGAAGATGAAACAATTGAAATTACAGACTATGGCAAGCATACGCTTGAGTTTTACTACTATAGCGAAGAACAAGACTCTTTCTACTTTTATACCGGCGTAAACTATAGGAAATTACAAGTATGTTTTACTAAGGAAGGCTATGCTTATGTAAACGCTAGAGATACGGATGGAAAATACGTTAGACTATATCTTAACAAATTCAAGAAGCTATATGGCATACCATTTTAAAACGTTTTTAAAACAGTATATTTTTACATATATTAAATGCTTCAGGTTGAAAAACAAAGAACAAAAGTAGCAGATACAAAACCGTTAGACTATATCTTTACAAATGCTGGTAGGACAATATCAGATGAAGAAATTTCATCCCGAGCATACAGATTTGACAGTTTATAGAAACGTGTTTGACCCTCAAAATGTTATGTGTCATGCAAGTTTCAGTTCAAGCAACAATAGTTTTCTTTGTATTGGTAAGGACTTTTATGACTTTGCTTCTAAATTCTACGAACCACCTAGTAACAGTTTCTCTGACTTTCAAGTTTGGTTTACAACAAACGGTGTGCAGCATATTATACCATTGTACTACGACTTTTATCTCGAATTGTCTTTCATATACAACTACGGAAAAGTGCTGAAAAAGTATTGAAAAATGAGTTTTGGTTGAAAAAATACGGTGGAGCCAAAAGTGGCTCGACCTCAAAACAAGCATTTTGTGAAGAATATACCAACCCGCGGAAAACAGCGGGTTGCTTTTTATACAAAATTCAACAGGTAAATTTTCATGAATTTCCTTAAGACAGAAAAAAATATATTTTAGGTGTCACCAGGTCACTCGGTCAACTAACATCTTTTTGAAAATGGTGACAACATGACATTTTGACAACAACACAGGAAATAGATTTCATCGTATATTTTTTGTTAAGACTTCATCGTAAATGTTTTGTCAAGACTTCTTCATCGTATATGTTTTGTCGAGATTTTTATCGTTGTGGTCCGACGGTTAAGCCACAAACGAATGTCCGACGTCCCACCAAAAAATATTTTTTTATTTTTATTGTAAGAACAGAAATGTCAGTCGAAGCAAAAACGTTCACGAACAAATCTAATGGCGAAACATTCACAAAAGGCACTTACAACGGTATTGAAGTCTTACGTAGAGACAAGGATGGTTATATAAATGCAACAAAGATGTGTCAGCAGTTTAGGAAAGACTTTAGAAGGTTGTTGGAAAATAAGTCCTGGGAAGAGTATTTTAAGGCATTTTGTGAAGAATATACCACCCCGCGGAATTCCGCGGGTTGCTTTTTATACAATGTTAATGCAGGAATTCCCGATGAAATCAAACAGGTTAGAGGAATGTATGTAGACCCAAGACTCGTAAACTATATTGCAATGTGGGCTTCTCCAAAATATTGTATAGCAGTTGGAAAAATTATGGACTCCATAGACAAGAAAGTTCATGAGAAGTTAGATGAAGAAGAACTTGAAGATACAGTAGAGAATGCAAAACCTTTGTTTGAAGAAGAAGTTAGAAAAATGCATGAAAAACAAATAGAACATGAACGTGAGATATGTTCTGGTTATAGAGACTCGCCATACGAACTAGACCAATGGGAACAAGAAGATTTAAAGAGAGAATTTAGAGAATATGAACTCGCTAAGATAGCATTTGAAGCTGCAGAAAAGAAGTTAAAAGTTTGGGGTCGTTTTTACAAAAATATTGTGAGTAAATGAACCATTTTTTTCGGCAAAATATATTTTAGGGTAGAAGGTTAGATCTAACCTGTCTTCTACCCTCTTTTCTACCCTCTTGAATTTTCATGAATTTCATCGTAAATGTTTTGTCATGAATTTCATCGTAAATGTTTTGTCATGATTTCATCGTAAATGTTTTGTCAAGACTTCTTCGTACATGTTTTCTAACCTCATGAGTTTTCCCGAAATAAAAAATAAAGTTGGTTTTTTTAAAAAAATATTTTTTTATTTTTATTGTAAGAACATGTTAGCAACAACAGCACCAAACTCTTTAGTTATGAACCCAACTTCAATGTTAGTAGAAATGAAAAGCTTCATTCCTTCTTCATATACTTTTGAAACAGAAATCCAGAAGATAAAGCAGGAACTTTTAACAAGTACTTTGGACTGTTGTGCGAAAGATGAACAAAATGAAGAATATCTTTATGAAATGCAGGATATTATTGACCATCTACCTAAACTTCCTGAAATCCAACAACAAAAGCTTACTATTCCAGAATTCGATGAAATAGAAGTCAAAGCAACTGACTCAGTAGAAATAAAGAAGTTCATACGAAAGGTTAACTATGAGTTTCTTGGATTTCATTGCAACCACAAAGTCATGGACAAAGATTGCGATATGGTATATAAGAACATCTCTGACATATACAAATCTGAAGAATTTAAGACCTACGACAACTTTGTTTCGTTAGTTGCAAAATGTGTATGGCAGATAAGAGATAAAGATAGAAGAGGTAAGGTATGGAATGAACAGATAAAACCAGCAACTTTTGAGTTAAAGAAAACCATTGACGCCTTAGTCATACTTGCAGGTAAGGTTTCAGAATATAACGCAAAGTTGAACCCACAATGTTCTAAATGTAAAGCAGCAATGAGGAAATATAACTACTCCGTCAAAGAGATAGAACGTATGAGAAACGACTATGCTGACTTAAAGAAAGAGATGTCAAACATTGAGTTTGAAACAGTTGGAAAGATAGACAATGACACCAAAGTGGTTAGAATAGGTGATTTAAACGTAAGATACTCAAAGAAATACAACAAAATTTTTGTCAGACATTTTATCCCATCTGGAAAGAAAGCAAAGGACTGGGTTAAAATTGCTTCTACTCAGAAAATTTTGACAAGAAATCCTGAGCTTATGATATCGGTAAAATTCTATGGAACTGCAGCATATCTCATCGACAAAAGTCTTATACCAATAGTTTTGTTATGGATTGACCCAGTTGTTGGATATAACTTCATAACATATGGTTTATTCGACTCAGAACGTTGCAGTGAAGGCTTACTTTACATCGTTCAGAAACCGAAGGACTTCAACACAAAAAGATATAAGATAGGAAGGACATATAATATAACTCTAAGATATGACAGTACAGTCAATAGAGTCAAGGTTGTGTTAGTTAACGATATGAGAGCTGCTGAAACAGAACTACTCGAAAAGTTTGAGAAAATGTATGGTGCTCCCATAAAAGGTAAAGAAACGTTTGAAGTAGATGAGATAGATAGTGCTATAAAATTATTTGACGAAGTTGCTGAAAAATACATGTAAAAATAACGTTTACCATGTAAAACGCTTATAAAATAACTGGGGTAGAAAAGAGGGTAGAAGACAGGTTAGATCTAACCATCTACCCTAAAATATATTTTTATTGAATTCAGCACAAAAATCTGAGTAAAATGGCATAAGATTGCTACCCTCGAAAAACCGAGGATAGAGATTCCGTACGAAAATCGCAAGAATTTGGCTCCTGGTTTGAGAGGTTGGTATGTTCATAGACTTTTAGTAAATGCTGTTGCAATGTGGGCTTCACCTCGTTACGCTTGTTATATTTTCATGATGTTAGATGAAATTCATAGACAAGAACGTGAAGAGCTAGAGAACAAGCTTGAAGCAAAAGACAAAAACATACAGAAAAGAATACCACGTTCGGTACCAAAAGGAAAGGAAAAGAACTATAAGTATATGATTTATACTGAAGAGATGGAAAATGAAGAAGACAGAGATATGGTTATGTTGCATTTAGTCAGAAGAAACAACAAAAGCTTTTACGACCTTGCTAAGATTTACAAATCTGACAGAAATTGGTTCTATCGCGAAAACTTACCGATTTCAATGACCCCAAATGAAGATGTTAAACAGATAGTTCAAGATACGTTACCTCAAACACACTATGATATGAAAGGTTGTACAATACTTACCTTCAAAGAAGATTTGCCATTGTTAAAGGAAAAAATAACAGAGTATTTTGACAACTTCAAACAAGTAGGGTAGATGAACCATTTATTTTTACGCTTGACTTCAGATGGCTCAGGTAGCTCTATAAGGTAAATTGCCTCATCTGCTGGGTCTATCTCGGTCATTGTTTCAAGACAAGTCTTTTACTTTTTCAAGACAAGTCTTTTACTTTTTCAAGACAAGTCTTTTACTTTTTCAAGACAAGTCTTTTACTTTTTCAAGACAAGTCTTTTACTTTTTCAAGACAAGTCTTTTACTTTTTCAAGACAAGACCCGTTATTTTTCAAGAAATTTTTTGGTGTAAAGTTCTCAAATTTGAGAACAGTGGTCTTGATTTCAGACGATACCCGTACTTTTCAAGACAAGTCTTTTACTTTTTCAAGACAAGTCTTTTACTTTTTCAAGACAAGTCTTTTACTTTTTCAAGACAAGTCTTTTACTTTTTCAAGACAAGTCTTTTATTGTTTCAAGACAAGTCTTTTACTTTTTCAAGACAAGTCTTTTACTTTTTCAAGACAAGTCTTTTACTTTTTCAAGACAAGTCTTTTATTGTTTCAAGACAATGTCCGACGTACCACCAACCGAGTCCATTCCAAAGCCAGAAGAACCGACAGCCCCAGCACCACAACAGACTAAGACTAAACACTTAGATTTTTCAAGCTTGACTTTTTACAATTTGAACTTTGTTCGCGTAGATGTGAATTCTGAAAGAAGTATGAGGGTCTTGTATGACTTTGTACTTCTCCCATAGTTCATGTCTGTCAAACTTACCTGCCATGGACTCTTTCATAAGTTCCATGAAATCGTCTTCGGACAATCCAGGGAAAAGTATGATATCAGTAAGTATTCTTTTAACATCCTTACTTAAACTCTTTGCTGTCTGTACACAAATGACAACTGAGATGTTAAAGTGTCTGAGCTTCTTGAGAATTCGACACATGTCTTGTTCTCTATTCTTTAACAAAGGATGAGAAGCAAAGTCATCTAAGATAAGAAGACACCTATGAGGGTATGTCTTCCAATCGTAAGATTGCAATTTCTTCGAAATGTATTCTATCTCTTTCTGTTTGTTTCTGAAGTGTTTCTTCTCTAATATTCTCTGCATTTCCTCATTTGGGTCTTTAAACTTCGAGTTTATATACTCATTTATAGCATTGTACTTCAAAACTCTTCTTTGGTACTTCTTTATCCAATCCAACAACTCAGAGTCTTTTATACATACTAACTTAGACTTTTTATAATATCTTTGAACGAATTTACGGTTTGGTCAAATTGACCCGAAGTACTACAAATGACAACTAACTCATAAAATGGGTTCTTCTCATCTAGTTCTTGTTGTTGTGCAGCCATTTTAAGATAAGTGAAAGTCTTACCCGACCAGGCGGTGCAATTAGACCTGTTATACCATTCTGAGCAAATAAGAACTTGTCATGTATGGGTTTTATCTGAGCATTTTCTAACTTCCTCTTGTTCTTGTTTAAAACATTCTCAAATTTCTTGTCAATGTCAGCAAACTTTTTTTTCTAACATATTTTTAGAAAAATTAAAAATTTTATCTTTTAGAAAATGTCTAGCGATTTCGCTATCTATATTCGAGACAAGCTTTTCGACAGCAAAACATCTGTCGACCATAAAATCTTACATAGTGTAAACAAGAAAGGTGAATTTGTTCTAAAGTTCTGTTTCTGGGAATATGACAAGAACCATAAAACATTAAGCAGAGCAGTCTTAAAATTTGTCAATGACAGACTTGTTGACAGAGATGACACCGATTGGAAAGATGAAGTCCAACAAAAGTTCTTAGAATGCAAAGAAGACACATGCGCTGTTCTTGAAGATGAAATAGGAAACAGAATAGAAGAGCTATTAAAGGACAAAGAACTTTTACATAAATATGGTTGCGCCAAATTTGACATAACTCCACCAGAGAAGAAGAAGAAGAGAGAAAGAAAGAAAAGAAAGTAGAAGAAAAGAAAGTAGAGAAGAGAAGAAAGAACCTGAACCAGTTCCAGAGAAAAAGAAATTTGACATGTAAAAATAAAATTTTATTTTTAGAACATTTCTGGGTCAATGTCAATGTTCTCTTCCTCTTTAGGAGCAAACACTGGCTTAGACTCTAAAATCTTTTTACCTAATTTACCTTGAACTTCAACTATCTTAGACTCATAATATTCATAGTCGTCTGCTTTCTTTGGTTCATAAGGTATAACAAGTTTGTATGCTTTGCCTTCTTTAAGGTTTGAAAACCTTCTGTCAAAATTTTCTTTGACTGCTAACAAACCTTCTATGTCTAAGTCTTCAAATTTCGCACCATTTTTAGTCACAATAGCAAACTTAACTGGTTCGATGTTCCAAACTTTGTCAAATGTAGACTTTTCAAAATGGTAGAAGTAAACATTCAAATATGTGAATGGGTCTAGTTCTTCTTTAAGTCCTGTCATGTACTTGTTGACTGAAATATATTTCGTCATCTTTTCTATCGGATAAAAAAAATATTTTTTTTAAAATTTACTCAGGAAAAATTTTTCTTTGTATATACGCCGTTCTGAACATCTAAAAGATTTTTGACATTTGCCAAGAATGTTCGTTTAGACGCTGCCATATAACCATACTCTTGACAATATTGTTTATATGAATCGTACAATGACCTTTCATCTAAACACTCAAAGTTAGTCTCATCTATAAACAGTTCATATACACTCTTGTTTGCTTCTAACAATGTTTGTCTCTCTTCGGTATATGGAATTTGTCTTGGATTGAAGTTAGAAATATCTAATGTCATGAAATATGAGAACAAGTGGTTGTAAAAGTTAGGTGTCAAAGTTTCTGCTAAGTCGTCAAAATATTCTGTATCTTGCATATGAGAATCTGACGTTCTGACAACTACATATCTTCTGTCAGAACTTTCTAACTTCATCGGAACGGCGTTGTTTGAAACCATGACGAAGTTTGCAACATTTCACAAACTCTTTGGTCTTTATATTTTCTTTCAACAACTCCAACTTTGTCTGTTATAAGACTCTTCAAAGCATCTGAGTTTAAAACCTTTGTTGTATCTATACTTTGAAGTTCGTTACATACTATAAGTTTCATATTCTCTATTGAAGAGTTAAATTTACCGCAGATGTTTTCTAAGTTTGTCATATTAGGGTTCGAATAGCCCTCTAACAGTTTGCATAAGATATCTGTAAAGAAAGTGTTCTTACCAGTTCCTTGTTTTCCAATTATAATGAGAGCAGTTTCATTTTTAGCACTTGGATGTTGTAAGATGTTTGCAAACCAACATAAGATATACTCATAGACTCTTTCGTTTCCATTGCATATAATTTCTTTGACATGGTCTAACCAAGCTTCTATAACATTTTCTTTCCATTCTACTTGTTCGTATTTATATCCAGTGAAGATAGAATAGAAGTTTGGAGATGGTGTATAGAACTTTATACCACGAACTGAAAAATCTTCTAACTTTGACAATAAGATATCCCAAGCATCTAACATCTTCATACCAACTTGTACGACTTTTATTTTCTTAAGTTTCTGTCTACATTCTTGTTCTGAAACTATGGTTGCTCTTGGTTTGTTAAAGACAACATCCCATTCTTTCATGACATAACATTCTGGGGCAGAGTCGACATAAATGACTAAACGTTTTCAAATTCTCGACTGCTTTGTTATAGTCTCTAAATGGACACATATTTCTGAAGGCTTGGAAGTCATAAAAATCTGAAACATCTATTCTGTACATTTTTATAAAAATAAAAAAAATATTTTTTTATTCTTGACTTTTGTTGTTCCATTTGTTGCATTTGTTGTTCTTGAGCTATTTGTTGTTGAAGTTGTTCTTGTAATACAATACTTTCACCAGTTGCATCTTCCAATTCGAAACTTTCTGCCGTCATTGACAAATACATAGGACATAAAAGTTTTACAGGAACAAAGTTTGCGTCAACTAAGTTAAGTTTATTTGCTAAAGTTTGAGTTTACTAAAGCTGAAAACTCTGCATTCGAATGAACAATAGGCAAACCAGCAGAGAAAGTGTTGTTTATACGCATAGTTCTTTTGGTCATAGTAGTTTCTGTCGACATTCGAATAGCACTTTGAACCTAAGTTTGAAACAATATATAAAATAGGTGTACTTAAAGTCAATGGAACAGACACCTTGTATGACACCTTTTCCTGTTATAGGAAACTGTTGGTAGTAAAAACCAGATATAAGTTTTTATTATAGCTCATATCGTTTTATACTAAACTCAGTCGGACATCCAAACATAATGAAACCTGCTCTAGTTGCAGCACATGTACATCCGTCCTTAAAGTATTAAATAAGTCAAACAAAACCTGTTGGTGGTATATCTGAGTAAGTATCTTCAAAGAAGTATTTTTTACCATTTCACAACAACAAAGTCTTCTGGTGTCAAAAGAGCAAACAGCTTTAGTCGTCATCGTGTAAGGTCAGTTTACAATATCGTCCTTGAGGACTTTTAAGTTTGTGTTATAGAATTATATGACTCAGGTTTTAGTCGTAATAGTATAAACACACTATGTCTTCTGCCATTTTACTTAGCAAGTAAATTTTAATGAAATGTTGTGGTCGTCAAATATTTTTATGACGTCTGGGAAACTATATTTTAAGTTCAACGTTTCACCTCCTTTCATAACGTATATCTTGTCAATGACATTATATGAAACACCACAGCAACTAACGTCGGGTTCTATTTCTTTGATGTTTATATCGTCTGCCTCTGTCAAAAGTTTCAATAGTTCTTTCAAAATTTCATGAGGTGCGATGACATATGAGTTCACTTTTACAGGGTTGTGCTCACCAAGTTTAACATTATACCTTAAAGCTTGACAAATCTTCTCCTGAGTTTGAAGTTTGTCTTTCAGTTGTTGGTAGTCGTTTCGAATATCTGCAACAGAACTTAAGTCTCTGCTAACTTCAGGGTATGTTGGTTGTTCTTTTACAGGAACTATTGTTATACCATCTTCGTCTTCGTATGGTTTCCCCACTTCAACATCTCTTTCTTTGACATTGACAACAACACTTTGACTGTTTGTTTGAGTTGGTGAATTTAACTTCACATCTGCCATCGCCATTAAACCTTTTGAAACACTTACGCTTCTATTTTTCGGAAATGACATTTTACTTAGAATAAAAAGATGGACGTATTTGAGTATCTCTTTGAATTGAAGCAAAACAAAGTTTACACACACAAACAATACAAGTTCATTGATAGAATAGTTCTTTATACAAACAATGGAAAATGTTATAGAATAGCAGTCTTTGCTGAACCAAAATATTTTCATAAAGCAAAGAAAGTTGGTATAACTGAAATGGTGAAAGTTCTTGAAGCAGACAAAAATATAACAACAAAACTGACCGATATTTCTAAAGGTAAGTTTTTAATACAATATTATATCAAAACTGGCGTACTGTCAATATTTGACGGAGAGAAGTCAGTTCAAGAACAACTTACTGACCTGCTGCCAAAATCTGCTCGATGGAAGCTGTCGTTATACCAATCTGAGGAGCCCCAGCAGGTTTCATCGAACGAATCTTCAAAAGAGCATCTTCCGTGAAAAGTGCTATTGGTTTTGTAAACTTCTTTGCTTTCAATTCATTTGGACCGTCTCTGTCACCAGTATATTGTATTTGAACTGTACCAACAGTTGAAATACCACCCATAAAGTCTTCTGAGTCAGCAAATGGAATGCCAAGCCAAAAGTTTGAACGGTCTCCATTTGTATATTGAGTGTTTTGAGCTCCTGTATGAGTCCATACTTTCACATATGGCATAATAGAACTTTGCATTTCAGGGTTAATGGTTGTTGTGAAGTTGTTGTTAAAGTTCATAGCATCTAATGTCAAGTTGTATGACCTCATATCCTCAACTGTAGAATATTCTTCTCTTGGATAATATTTGCCATCTATGTTTATATGGTATTTAATACCAGGGTTGTAGAAGCAAGAATAGTCATTTATAGTTCGTCTGAACAGTACAAACATAGTATCTGCATGTTTCATTGCAGTTGTTAAAGCAATATCTGTTCTTGCACCTGGGTCAGCACTTTGGTTTCCAACTTCACTGCAAAGTCTTTGACAGATATTTGGTGTATAGGGAACATAAGTGGAACTGCAATATATTTGCAGCTAAAGCATTTGAAATATCTGGGTCCAACATATAGACTGCAAGTCTGCTTTCTATTCTCTTGCATTCAAACTTTTCGCATGTGAATTAACTGGGTCCCAAGCAGTTCCAGCAGCATTGAAATAATAGTTTTACTTCAGTGCTGAGGTTTGAGAAACCAAAGTCTAAGTCAACTTTGTCTTTGCAAAATTCGGCGAATGACGTTTGATTTGCTCCCTTTACGTCTGTAAGAGTGAATGGGTCTTGTGTTGGTGCAATGACTAAGTTATTTTTGCTTGGAGTAAGTTCGATAGAAATTTTTCCTGCCCAGTTTGGCAAGTATCTTAAAAACCTGAAGATGAGGAAAGATGACAAAGGAACTCTAAGTTTCAATTTTACTTTGGTTACTGCTGCTGCAGTTTGTCCAGAAAGGTTAACATAAACTCCTGGAACGTTAGGGTCAAGTCTTCTTATTTTCTCAATAGTTGCATACTGGTCTGTTTGTTCTCTAGCTTGTGGTTGTACTGAGTTTCTTAAGCGAACCATTCATAGTTTGCCCATGTTACTGTTTGAACTAAGTCAGAGTTAGAATATATCTTATATCCCATGAAAACTTCTGGAGCATATTGGTATCCGACATAGAAAATTCCATTGCAACCTTTCTTGTCAGACAACTTGGCAGAAGGTTTTATTTCAATGTCTTGTTCCACGTATAAGAAAGAGTTGTCAATAGAAATTATATGAAACCTGTCGCAAGCAATATCTACTGTTGTTGAAGAACCTTCTCCAAACTCACCTACATTTCCATAAGAAACAGCAGTTGTATATTTCGTAAGTTCCAGGAACTATTTTGACCTTCTAATGGCATTGTCGCATTCGTTATACCATTCGGAAACATTTCCATTCATAGCATCCAAAACTGTTGGCGTTATATTCTGAGCGGCGTACATTTCATATGAGTAAAAATATAGAATAGTTGGATTTATATGTCATAATAGAACCCACGTGGACCAAGCTTTACTTTCTTCCTGACTGAGTTTTTAACTCTTCTTTTTCCTTCATTGCCCTCTGCTTGAAGTTGTTGCATCTTTGCATTATGTTCATCTAGTATGTTGCAAATTTCCCATGTCCTTTTTGCCTTTGGGCTCTGGTCGCCCATCTCAGGTAACCTATATCCTAGAAAGAGTTTGTCATAGTCTGTATTTGAGTCTTTGCGTATTGTTTGCATGACTCTTTCCTGAGTTTCTGGTTCAAGCTCTTCAAACAGAGCTTGTCCATATGGAATATAAGCTCGTTTCCAAATATATGTTTTTGTAGCCATTCTGGTTTTCTTTCCATGTTACCAACTATATCTTTTGTGAATGGGAAAGCTTTTACCCAATCTTTCAGTCTTGCGTCGTTTATTTCTGTAGTTGGTTTTATTTTGTCAAGGAACATGTTTTTCAATACTAACATTTCATTTGGTACTGTCCATTTGAGTTTTCTTAAATATTCATCCCTTCTCGGTTCATTGTCTGCAAAGTAAGTTTTTATGACATTTTGCAAACTTTCATTTGCAAGGTCATGTACAATAGGTTCTCTTCCTTCGCTCTCCCTAACTTTCTTTCTAAACTCTTCACCAAATATACCATCTCTATGGTTCTGTGTAGTTCTTTGAGATAAATGTTCTAGAACGTCAGGTGTTATATTTCCATCAGCCATGTTCATTTCATACTGGTCCAAAATATCTGCATGTTTTCATATCTTTCAATGGCATTAAAGCCGCGCTTAAAATACCAGCTATATCTGGTTCACCATTGACTTCCATTGCGTCTACAACTTCTTGGAATTGTGGTTGTAAGTTTATGAACCACCTATCTGGATTAGCTTTATGACCCCATCTCATTGTAGTTCCATCGTCTGCAGAGAAACAAAAGTAGGTTTGTTTCCATCTTGGTTAGGTTCTGAATGAACTTTAAACAATGTTTCATTTCTATATGTTTTCTTGAAATTTAACCTTTTATTTTCACCGAGTTCATCCGAAGATTGAACGTTAAATGCTCGTAAGTAAAAAGGGTTGTTGTATTTGTGTACATTTTCTTTCAGTGCTTCCATTCTATGCTGAATATTTTCATCTGGTGTTGGAGTTTTGTATGTCGGCAAACATTTTTCGATATTCTTCTACTATGTCAGCCGAATTTTTTTTAGACTCTTGGAAATATTCCATATTCTCCGCATACTCTTGTTGAGGGTCAAGATTTTTCGGCTGTTCCAAATCTTCATCTAGTTCTGTGAAGTTAGTTTCCAAAGGAGTGACTTGTTCGTTTCCTTCAGGCTCTTCTAGCTGTTGTTGCTGAACTATTTCTTCCATGTCTGGTTGTATCTGAACTTCTTCCTGTGGAGTTTCTTGTACCTCATCTGCTGGCATTTCATATATTCCGAGACCGTTTTCAACAATTTCCCTATCTACGTCATCCGCATTCATAAGCTTTTGTTCTTTCGTTCCGTCTCTATTTTTTACGCGTTTCATGACGAAAGTTGAATTGTCATTTAGCTCTGACATCAAATATCTCGGAGTAAATTCAGTCATGTCATTTGGATGATATGCTATTAAATCATATCCCTTAGCGAGCTTGTATTTTCCAGGTTTGAGATATATATCCGTTTTGGTGCTGAGCCATAAAGCTAAATAGGTTCGGGTCAGTATTTCCATCCTTGAACTTTCCAATAGCTTCTTTATATCTGTCACTAAAGTCAACAGTATCTGGGAAACCACACTCTTCTTTAAGCATTTTTAAGAATTCTTGGTTTCCTTGTTCTCTACTTCTTTTATGTCCTTGCTCTGGTTGTGGAGGTGGTTGTTGTGCAGGGTTTTGAACTGTTGGTTGCTGTGCTGGTTGTTGTTGTTGTTGTGCAGGGTTTTGAACTGTTGGTTGCTGTGCAGTGTTTTGAACTGTTGGTTGTGGTGCTGGATTTTGAACTGTTGGTTGCTGTGCTGGATTTTGAACTGTTGGTTTTGGTGCATGCCTGTGTCTGTGTCCATGTGACGATGTAAATGTTTTAGGTAGTCCTGGTGCAGGTGCTTCTCTTGGAGGGTTTGGTGGTATATAAGTTCCACCAGCTGGCACATATGTTCCATCTGCAGCGTAATGTCCTACCTGACTTTTCGTTTTTAAGAAAGCATTTACTAGGTCTGTTTTGGTCTGTTGTAACTCTTTTTCTTGACTTTTCACAACAGTTGCTCTAACGGCGTCATAGGCACTTTGAACTGCCTGTCTCGTTGCTGCATCTGTTATTTTCGTCATATTTTGTGCTACTTCTTTTAACTCGTTGTCGAAACCTTCAGACTTCAGTTTCTTTCCAGATGAGAAGTCGTTCACTTGTTTCACCTTACTATGAAGAGCTTCGAAGGCGTTCTTAAAGTCAGCATTCGTTAAAGCTTCATTTGAACTGTCTTCATCCGCTTGTATTTTTGTCCTTATTGACCCTATAAGCTGGGCTGCTTTAGCGTTGGCTTGGGCATCTAACCAGTCATTGTTAGCTTTTATATATTCTGCGCTTTTCATTGCCTTTTGCATAGCCGCGTCGTTATTTTTACTTTCTTGTGCTAAGTTTTCATACTGTACGGTTTGGTTTTGCAACTGTAAAAGTTTTTCTGCCTTTACATTTGCTTCAACTTCTTTTTATACTCATCGCTATCCATATATGTCTTCAGGGCTTTTTGTTTTATCTCTTCATCTTTCAGTATTTTATATTGAGTAGTATGGTTTTTCAAATTTATGACATCTTGTTCCATTTTTGCTACTTCTGCTGCTTTTTCTGACACTTTTTTCGCATATTCCTCTGTACTTAGTTCTTTCAGTTGTTCTTCTTTCTTCTTTTTCTCTACGTTTAACTCATTGAGTTTCTTTGTGTGTCTGTCATATTCTAGTTTCTTTTCGTTTTCACTTATTTGTTTCTGTATGTCTATGTTTGACTTTTTGACATCTGCTATTTGATTTTTGAGTGAACTCAAATTCATTTGACTTTGAGGGTTATATGCTGTTCCGTCTGCAGCTCCACCATAGCCTGCCATTTTCGCTAAAAGTGCCGCTCTTAAACCTCCACTCTGTGCACCAACAACTCGGTTTAAAAGCATAGGATTGCTTGACATTTGTTGCAACATAGTGGGGTCATTCAGCATTTGTTGTTGCAACTGTTGTTGTGGTGTCAGTCTTACTATTGGATGTTTCAATGCTCTCTTCCTCTTACGTATATTCTTACGTAGCTTACGTGGCATTTTAAGTGAAGTTAAAAAGCGGTTTTTGACAGATGTTTATATGACACTTTCTACCCTCTTGAATTTTCATGAACTTTCTTGTCTATGTTTTGTAAAGTTCTTCTTCGTAAAGACTTTGTAAAGACTTTCTCATGAACTTTCTTGTCAATTTCTTGTCAATGTTTTGTAAAGTTCTTCATCGTAAAGACTTTGTAAATGACCCAAAAATATATTTTAGGGTAGATGGTTAGACCTAACCTGTTTTCTAACCTCTTTTCTACCCTCGTGAATTTTCATGAACTTTCTTGTCTATGTTTTGTAAAGTTCTTCATCGTAAAGACTTTCTCATGAACTTTCTTGTCTATGTTTTGTAAAGTTCTTCATCGTAAAGACTTTGTAAAGACTTTCTCATGAACTTTCTTGTCTATGTTTTGTAAAGTTCTTCATCGTAAAGACTTTGTTGAGAAAGTTCATGAAAATTCAAGAGGGTAGAAATGAGGTTAGAAAACAGGTTAGATCTAACCATCTACCCTAAAATATATTTTTGCCTGATTTACACTCATTGACGATGAAGTTTTGTAATGTTCTTCATCGTAAAGACTTTGTTGAGACTTCCTCATGAACTTTCTTGTCTATGTTTTGTAAAGTTCTTCATCGTAAAGACTTTGTTGAGACTTCCTCATGAACTTTCTTGTCTATGTTTTGTAAAGTTCTTCATCGTAAAGACTTTGTCAAGAACTTTCTTGTCTATGTTTTGTAAAGACTTCTTCATCGTAAAGACTTTGTCAAGAACTTTCTTGTCTATGTTTTGTAAAGACTTCTTCGTAAAGACTTTGTAAAGACTTTCTCATGAACTTTCTTGTCTATGTTTTGTAAAGACTTTGTAAAGACTTTGTTGAGAGTTCATCGTAAAGACTTTGTAAAGACTTTGTTGAGAGTTCATCGTAAAGACTTTGTAAAGACTTCTTCGTAAAGACTTTGTAAAGACTTCTTCGTAAAGACTTTGTAAAGACTTTCTCATGAACTTTCTTGTCTATGTTTTGTAAAGTTCTTCTTCGTAAAGACTTTGTTGAGAGTTCATCGTAAAGACTTTGTAAAGTTCTTCTTCGTAAAGACTTTGTTGAGAGTTCCTCATGAACTTTCTTGTCTATGTTTTGTAAAGTTCTTCTTCGTAAAGACTTTCATTTTATACTAAACATCAACGGGGCTAGAAGGCACGAAGTGCCTGGAAGCCCCACTCCCTTTTTTTTTTTTTTTTTTTTTTTTTTTATTATAAAAAAGAAAAAATAAAGCACGTTAAAATTTTTCTTTCTTGATTTTTTACAAAATCTACTTAGAATTATGCAAAATATGACTAAATAATTATAAATTTCAAGTTAAATTTTAATTTTGATAAATAATTTAAATTTCAAAATATCAAGTTCAGTTCGACTATGTATGTAGTAATTCCTCAATAAAGTGCCAAAACCCTATTAAAATATATGAACATTTTCAACATTTTAATGTTTTTATTTAAAAATTTGATGGAATATGAGCTTCAAACAATTATTATGTAAATAAAAATAATTAAATATATGTATTTATTCGTATTACAACCGTAGTAAGTCGATTCTTCCTTTCTTCTACTGAGGTTTGAATTTGATTTCGAATTGTAAAGAGATTCAAAGGGAAAATACTAGCGGATAAAAACTACCTCCATGAAAGGGTCATAATGGAGTCAAGTTGTATTTTTTGATATTTTTTGCTTTTCGAGCCGAAATAGGTAGCCAAGATAATGCCTAAAAATAAGGTTCTAAATTCTGAAGTTTACATGATCCTCTCGTGTGCACCCTTAAACAAATTATTTCATATCGAAATAGTCAGGTTAAAGCATTTCTCTCTAATAGTTCAGACGCATATAAGCATATTAACTGTTTAACACATATTGTTCCAATGTTAGAGCTAATAATTTATTAAAATCAAAATTTAAATTTTCTTGAAATAATTATTTCGATATTTTTATTGTCTTAATTTAAGGGTTTCGTTTTGCTAAAATTGTCACTTTTATAGCATATTTGTTTTTGGATGTTTTGCGAAACCAAAAAAAACTATGATATACAATGTGTGTGTAAAGAAAATACTTTATTTACTAGTTAAAAAATCATTTGGTATTGATCAAGTTATTTTTTCTGGATAAGATATTATATGGATAATTGGATAGAAAATACAATTATATAATCTTGTACCTGGTTTAATTAAGCTAATTGTCATCAGAAACTTGTAATTTTTATGAAATTCAGATTTTCTTTTCATTACTGCTTTTCTTAATAGGTCAAGTTCTTATTTACGTTATAAAGTATGATATTTACAAATATCAAGTTATCGTGTTTTTTGAGAAATTATGAGAAACAAACAAAAATGAAAAAGATAGGAATAGCAATGAATAGTGATGTGGGTATAGAAAATGTAAGAGATATGAATGCAAAGCAATCAGTATTTAGGACATTGACCATAGATTTCGAAAAAAAAATGCTGCATATTGAGCGAAAACTATGATTATATTATAAGGCTGTCATTTAAAGCATAATGAAACTATTCCCTTTTCATTTTAATCGAATAAGATAGTAAAGATTTTTGAATTAGCTAGAAACTGATGAGATGTTTTCACAAATCAGATTTTTAATCTCTATAATGCATAATTCACTCAATATCTCAATTTTGATATTGCGAGATATTTTTGCTATCGGTTTCGCAATTTTGACACAATAGCAAGAGGGTTCTATAAGCATTATTATCAACGTAGAATCTGAATATCATATCAGAAAATGTCGCAAATCTGACATTTACCCGACCAAATAGCAAAAATAATTGAATACTTTTCGCAAAAACTTTAAAAATCGATAAAAATATGAAATATAGATATTAAAGAGACTTTTTATATAATATTCATAAAGATTTTCCAAAAATATGATACCGCAAAATTAAAAAAGTGACGTCTTGAGTGGAGTCAAAGGTCGAAATTGCTAGCTAAATGTTTTTTTAGCGAAATTGCGTATTGTACGTTTTTTTTCGCAAAACGAAACCCTTACTTAATTTTTTTGCTAATAAATAATAGCATTTTGATGCTTATTTAATTGATTTTTGACTTCAATAATTGACTGACCAAAAACTGTATTTTTGATTATTGAGGGGAGAATTATTACACTATATGAATATATCCCACATTCGATGAAAATAAATAATCTTGGCAACGTTTTTTTATTCAAATTGTGTAAGAGTTTGTTGTGTAATTTTCTAGACGCAATACGCATATTATCATAAGTGAGTATTTTTAATTAAGAATTATTCAGATTTATTGAAATATTCAATTTCAATAATTTTTCAAAGTTACTACTCAATATTCAAATCTCAACAAAATTTTAATTACTTTATTACTAGAAAAAGATTCTGGATATTTATTAGATATTCTTTTTTACATTTTTCGGATTTTGATTTTGAATCACATACAAAAATCATTTTATGAAAACTGCATTGTATTACTTATTTAATTCTTTTTTAAACAAAATTATGATCAAAAAACTAAATTCAATATGTGTATAGTTAAGTTAAATTTGAATTCAATGGATATAAGTAATACAACTATAGATAGTTATAAAATATCTGATTTGAGAGTATACAATCTGTCAACATAAAATTTGTCAATAGCTCGATTTGATTTTTTTTTCATGGGATACTCACATGTTAATGGAGTGCGTTCTTTCTTTTCAACATACACTTGGTACACATCAATCCTGTTTCTTGCTATCTACTTAGTTCTTAGAGAACCACATCATTTTACAGATCCTTGTCCCAGTGCCACGCGCCCTTTCAATTCCTCAAAGAATCCTACTTACTTTGTACACATAACTGATGTGCATATCAGTCACAAGCAGGGTCGCAACAACAGAAATTTCATGAATGCCCTTGAATTTTCAAAGAAATCAAAGACGAATACTCTTATTAACACAGGCGATCTCGTTGACAATTGGAAATTCCATGGCAAAGTAGTCAAAGAGTCATCACAAAATCTCCGCGATCAAGAAATTTATCAGAAACTTTCCAAAGATACAGGGCCATTGATTTCCTTATATGTTGACCAATCTGGAAATCATGATCTCTTTGATGTTTACTCCTTTGGAAGCAAAAAAATGCACTTCTTGAAATATTCAAATTATTATTTGAATCTTTCAAACATTACATACGAGAAATACCTTGTTTCCACAGTCACAGCTGAAGACTGCATCTTTGTCATCATCAATCCTCAATTATTCCCTCCGAGCCGAGCCCTCACTGATTTATTCGTTTATCCCAACCGTAAAAACCTCGATACCATTGAGAACGCGATTATAAATGCCTGCAAGACCAACCTCTCTGTTGTTGTTTTGAATCATTTCCCTATAGATCAATGGTTTTCGGTCAAATCTTCTCTCGGCCACTCTTTCAAAGACATGATTTCCATATACGATATATCAATAGCTCTCGATGGCCATACTCATCCAAGCATTTTCCATCCTCAGCATCATGGAACATCTCTCGAAGTTATTGGCAGTGATACGAAACAACACAATAACTTAGGAATTGTCACGATCGACAATGGCAACATCAACTACGCAGCATTCAAGTGCAACAATGATCCGAAAGCCGTTGTTACATACCCAATTTCTTACGATGTTGCTTCCCGACAGACAGTATTCAATAACCAGAAAATCGATATCAGAGTTTTAGCGTTTACTGAAGAGCCCGTTAAAATCTACGCCGACGGACATTTGATGGAGTTCGATAGACTTGTCAAACCAGGCGTTTCAGTGTACCATTACGAGAACACATTCCCATTTGGAATGAATACAATCGAATTTACGGGATATTTTGACAACAGATTGACTTTTTACGTAGGAGATATTTTGCCATCTCATTATGAGTTTTTAGGCAATCTCTACAACCTTTTCTTCAGTGTACATCCAATCTTTATCCTTCTAATGATCTCTTTCATTACAATTACGTTCCCAATTCCATTCGAATTAAAATATGAGAGGATAAAGAGGTTCGCACACGACAAACTCACATGGATATTTAATGGACATTCGACAGTCCTCCAGTTCATCCTTAATTGCACCATCTTCGGACCTTTAATCGTAAGATGGAGGTTTAATAGGATGCCTTTGTACGTGAGGGTCACAATGTTCCTAGTGATCTTCCTCCCTTACGTATGCCCTGTCGTTGTACAGACAATCGACGGACATTTGGGAATCCTGACAATTTACGGTTATTACAATGGAGGACACAACACTCCAACCATATGGGGACCGATTTTCTCACTCATACACATGTGGTTCGAGGTCGCTCCAATAACCATTTTCTCTTCAATGCTCGCATTGTCGAGTTATTGGACAAACTGGTTCATTTTGGATTTCATGTTCCTGTTTTTGGGTCTGACAGTTTGCTTCGGATTCACGTACTTCAAGCTTTCTGAGGCAACAAAGATCGTATTTTGGGCTTCAAATCCATTGTTCGTTCTTTGTCCAATTGCACTGCTTCTGATGCTTGTGATATGGAGAAGGATAGGAAAAAGACCTGATTTCTCCGATATTGTGGTTGATCATTCGACAAATGAAGATTTATTGACTTCTGAGGTTTGTCAAATCAACCCTTTAGTTAATTAACTTGTATAATGTTTTGATTTTCTTATATTATACCTATTGTTTTTCATAAATTTGGATTTTATATTTTTATTTCAAAAATTTTTTTTAGATTGTCATATTAATGTAACAATTCATCAATAAAACTAATCATCAATTTGGATTTTATATTTTTATTTCATAAATTTTTTAAGGGTGGCTTCCGACCAAATTGTCACTTTTTAGCCCAAGTGAGAAAATTTCGTAATTTATAACCAAGTTTTTTAAAATCTATATTTAATAAAGATTCTATTTTTCTTATTAAATTTCAAAAATGAGGGGGTTCGGAATCGTCCACAAATTGCCGAAAGGGTTTTTGCCAGTTTTGAATCCGCTTATTTTTATCGACCAAAATTATAATAAATATAATTTTCAATAAGTATTCTACCCAAATGATTCTTCAAAAAATTATTTTTCGGATTTTATTCCGTGAAAAAACGTTACAAAAAACGCCTATAAAATTTCGAATTTTCCCTAAAAAATTCAGTGCAGGTCGATTTAAGAGATTTTTCAAAAATAATCATATCAGTAGATAGGGTATAATATAGAGAAGCTTTATGAATAACTTAAAATACGGGAAACTCAATATTCAACGAGAAAAACGCTTAACGAATCTCACTTTTGGTGTAAACATCACAAAAAATTGAGAGGGCTTTCTGGTCGGAAGCCTCCCTTAATTCGTTGTTATGTTCAGTTTGGATGAACAACTGAAAAGAATGATAGACCAGATAAATGAAATCAATGTTCTTGATAGAAAAAAAGATGAAAACTTAAAGATGACATCAAAAATTTTAGGTTGATTAAAAAATTCTGCCGAATATCATTTCATTATGAAATCTCCATTTTCTGATGCAAAATTTCTTGAATGTAAGAACTTTAAGAAGTTTTTCAAGCCAAATGAAGAAGGGGAAGTCACAGGAAGAGTTTTACAATTACATTTAATTGAATATCCGATTGCGATCATTGATATTGACTTTCAGGGTCAAACTGAAAAGTACAAAGATGATTTCATTTCAAAGTTGATTCTAAAACTCCCAAAATATACAGTTGTGACACAATCTGCACATAAAGGACTTCATATCTATTGCAAGCATAATTTATATCTTAAAATGAATAGATATACCAAAATCATTAAAACAGACACATTTGATTTAGATTTTTTCATTGCAGGTATTCCCAACAAAAAATCTTACATTGTTTTCCCTCCGACTAGAGTAATTGACAGTAACACAGGGAAAGAACTACAATATAAATTCATTTTAAATGATTTCAGCGTTCCAGAATTGCCAGAAATTGAAATTATTGTTGATTGCATTGATGCTATTATAAATATGTCAAAATTCAGAGAATTTATGGACCTCAGACTAATCCAATTTTTCTTGATTAGTCTGAGCCTATTCCAATAAAGGCTCAGACTAATCCAATTTTTCTTGATTATTATTATCTTAAGAAGGTCGTTGAAGGAATTACGAATTTTGATATTGTTGATGGTGATGATGAACCAGATAAAACTGTTTCAGTTGGGTTTTTATTCAAATCAATTAATTCTTTCAAAAATGTCAAAAATATAACAGATTCTGACATTGACGAGTTCTACTCAATGATTATTGCAAATAATAAGTTTAATGATAGCATTGATATTAATAAAGTAAAAACCGAGTTTCAAGAATCGAAATCAACTTGGAACAATGCAATGAAGATTCTCAAACTCTTTAGAAAGGACTATTTCACTTCTGTCATCCTCCCTATTTCTAACAAAAGAGTGAAGAAAGAATAATTTTGAATAAAAATGAAAAAATGGTGATTGAAATGACTTGCTCTCAAATGCTAAAACAAATTGTTATGCATTTAAATAATGAACTTTCAGCTTCAATATGTAAAATTCAATTGTTATATTTGGAATATAATTGTGCTTTTCATGTGTGTGAAAGAATTCCATTTGAAATAAATATATGTATAACTATATCTTTTATTTTAGAAGTCAAATTTCTTGAAAAATTCAATCATTTGAAGAGTCTTCGCGTATTGCTTTGGAACCAATCCCTTTGAGTTGACGGCCATGATGTTTGCGCCGTTGTCTATCAAATACTCCGCGCAAGGAACGGAGTCAGCAAAAACAGCGCAGAAAAGCGGTGTTGCCCCATTTTGGTCAGGAATATTGACATTTGTGCCGTGTTCAACGAGTGTTTTGAGTGCTTCCAAGCGATCGTTGAACGCAGCATAGCTTGCGGCCGTACTTCCTGTGTCTGTCTGGATATTTACTTGCGCGCCTCTTTCAATCAGTAAATTGATGACATTAACGTGGCCACCTTCAGAAGCAAGCATAAGAGCGGTGCTTCCGATGTTTGTTTTCTTATCAATTTCGCATCCTTCGTTTAATAGAAAGCGAACACAGTCCAAATGGCCTTTCCATGCGGATAACATCAATGGGTTCATTCCATTTTCATCTGTTTCATTAAGGAAATCTTTATTGTTTGAGATGGCTCCCACAATTGTTCTTAAATCGCCTTCATTTGCTGCTCTGAGCAAATCACTAGGTGTGTATTGCTTGTCGACTGCTTCTAAAGCTTTTTGGCGATCAGATTCAATGAGCTTAGCAAAGATTCGATCTGAATCAGCTTTTAATGCTTCAATATATGAATTTTGTGGACCATTTGAAATCTTTTGAAGTATAGGAGATGATGATATTGTACCAATGATAGAAATTAAATCAGTAAATTCGCATTTTTCTTCGACATCAAGTTTTTCTAATAAAAGAATAGATTCTGATTTATATATTTGATATGCCTTTGACATGAGTTGCTTAGCTGTACTTGCTTTTAATGGTGAAGCTTTTTGAATGATACAATTCAAACTTTGAATTGAAATCTTATATAAATTGTCGTTTAAAACAATGTTGTCAATATCTTTAGCAATTTCTATGACTAAAGCATCGAAATTGGCTGGGTCCTCTGTTTTAAATTTCTCTAAATTTTGCAATTTTTCTTCCATCTGAGAATTAAAAGTGAAGAAACAATTATCGAATAAAATTCTTTTAGGGAACTAATTGCGTGAAATAAATTCCAGATATTGAGCTAAAAATTCCGAAATCAAGATTTTTCTTCATCATTTGATTTTCAATTGAACAAAAACAAATGTTTTACATATTATATGTGAAATAAATAGTAGTGTAAGTAAGGGTTGAAATACTATTATGATATTTCTTATTATGAAAAATAAACATTAATTATATGCTCATTATCTCTATTTAAATAGTTGGATATTTAAATTATAACTTAGTCAAGTTGATTGGATTGCTTTATTTGGTGTCCTAAATTTAATATAAGATTTTGCAATTTTAATGGAATATATTGTCCAATTCTATGAAAATAATGGTAACAACATGATATTGTAATTGATTCATATCTCCATTCTTTCTAAAACGATAATTGACAAATGAAATTCCAAATTATTTGGCATCAAAGTATATTAATTAAAGATTAATTAAATGATTTAAAATTCTTAGGAGTGTTCAACACATATTTCAAACAAACCGTTGTTTATTTTTCAGGAGACCTAACAAAATCCAAAAGGCATTCAAAACTTTCACAATTTCCATGTTTGCATCCTTGTTGATCCCACAAATGAATGTGGAAGTTCTTCATATAGACATGGTTACAACAAAAACAGTTCCACAGGAGAAAATAACGGAATGCGATGATATTCCATCACCTACGCCATCTCCACAATCATCTTATGAAGAAACATATTCAACTATGCATTCCTTCAGTGAAATGAGTTCAAGTACACCTGAAGCTTCATGTGAAGAGTCACATTCAATTATGCATCCCTTTAGCCAAACGAGCTCATTTACACCTGATGTTTCATCTGAGGAATCACATTCAATTATGCATTCCTTTAGTGAAACGAGCTCAAGTACAGTTGAAAATTCATTTGAAGAATCACATTCAACTATGCATTCCTTCAGTGAAACAAGTTCAAGTACAGTTGAAAATTCATTTGAAGAATCACATTCAACTATGCATTCCTTCAGTGAAACAAGTTCAAGTACAATTGATGTTTCATCTGAGGAATCACATTCTACTATGCAATCCTTTAGCCAAACGAGTTCAAGTACAATAGATGTTTCATTTAAGGAATCACATTCGACATTGTCTTCAATTGGAGAAATTGGCTCGAGCAAATTATACTCGAATGAATCTAATGAATATAGTTGTACATTTGTTCAAACAATAAGTGATATAGAAAGTTATTACTTTTCTCCAATCTTATCAACAACAGAATCTTCTGCTTTACAAGATTCGGCTAATTCTGACAATTTAAAAAAGAAGAAGAAATACCTTTATGCGATTATTTTTATTGCATGCGGCCTTGTTGCATTAGCTGTATTAATGACTGCAGTAATTATCGCAAATGAAGTAAAAAAGCATGCAGAAAAACTTGCTCATGATCCAAAGAACGAAGCATTCATTGTGGAAACAGATGACACACATGAAAATACAAATGATGATTCATTGAGTGTTTAAATGTTCAAATGTGAACAACACATGAAATCTTTTCATTATCATCTTCAATAAAATTAACAAATCTAAAGTATTCGGCAACATTCAGCCTTTTGTTCCTCTTGATTTTTTAAAAAATCTTTTCATTTATGCATTTTAACGTTTTGTAATATTTAAATAAATATTAATATGCATTTAAAGAAATAGAGCAGCCTTTGATATGATTGAATTGATCGAAAGCACTCATATATCTGTAATTCCGAAAGATTCCGTATAGCTTTTAGAATATGATTAAGCTGGAATTCCAATATTACTGTTGTCATACAATTGTAACTGTGTTTGCTTAAAAAATAGACTCTATTTAATTATGTGTTGTAAAATTTGAAAAAGTGACAGAAATATAAAATTTCCGAAATTCAATTAGAATATCATCTTCGAATATAATTCAATTTTTGATGTTTTATTTTATCGTTGTCACTTTTTCGATTTTTTTGATGGCTGAAACAGAATATGATGAAAAACTTTATAACAAATTGATAGAAAAGTACAAAGATTATATTGATACAATCGATAAATTATATAACATCAAACCAGAGTTCATTGAAGATCTTTACACTAATATCAACGCGTTGATCAAAAAATATAAAATGTTGCCATGCTTTTTCATAAATACAATTGCCCTGTTTATTCAAGAAGATCCATCTGCAATCAAATCATACTGGACAATTATTGAATTGCTCATGAAAGAGCACATTCCTGAAATTGGATTTATAGCATTGGAGTATCCCGACAATTTGAAGACACTATTAAAGAAGAACTACAAAAAGAACCTGACTTGCGCCAAGAAAATAAAGATACAAGGCAAGCAAGAGAAGATACTCGCCCCTTTTCCAGAAAGATCAATCGAATTTCATCTGCTCAATGATGATGTCGATTTTTTGAAGGAAAAATCCAAAAAAGTTGATGAATCAACGCTCTCTAAATGCTGCCAATTTGGAGCAATCACATGCTACAACTACCTGAAGTCAATTGGCTGCAAACCAAGTTCAAATAATGTTTCTGCAGCAATTGCAGGCAAAAACAAAGAAATTATCATGGATGTGCTAAATAACATAGAAACAAAGGATGGATTATGGTTGCAATACCAGTAAATAAGGGATCTTGATATTGTGCAGCTTCTTGAAAAGAAATTTCATATGGATTTTGATGCAGAAGAAACTTCTAATAATTTGAATTTGACAATTTTCTTGTATTTGCTTTCGAAAAAGAATGCTGATTTGAAGCAATTCATGACTTTTTGCCCGAAGTTCTACATCCCAGGATTAGTTGAAGACATAATCGGACTTGGCTGCAAGGTAAAGAGTGTCAAAGATGAAATTCCTTTGGGAATTGCCGCAGAGATAATGCTGTTGAAGTGATGAAGAAATTGCTTGAAAAAGGAGCAGATGTAAATCAAATAAATAAAGTAAACAAAAACGCTTTGCATTTTGCAGTTGAAAATGATGCATACGAAGCTTGCGTTTTGCTCCTTGATATAGGAGCTGATCAGGACCAAAGGGATGACGAGGGATGTTTCCCTGCTCATTACACACTCGATAATGAAAATGAGAGATTGATGAAACTCTGCATTGATAAAGGTTTTCAACCTGATTTTTGTGATTTCACAATGGATGTCGATTTCGTTCATAAGATCTATGATAAACATGTAAGAAAACAATACGGAGGAAGAAGAGGCATGTGGGTTTATGTCGGAGATCGAAACAGTAGAAATGATTTTTATTTTTAAAAATTTTATCATAATATTTATCAATCTAGTATTTTTTACTTTAGATAATATTTCTAAAATTTTATCATAATAACCAATCTGAATATTTCTAGTTAAAATCATTCTAATTTTTTAAATTTTTGTTATTGATTCACAAATTTCCAATATTTCCGCAATATGTTACAAATATTAATGAGATTATTCTATTGATATCGGTGTATCAATCTAAATACCCAGATTTGCCTTACTTTTACCACCTCTCTAAAGCTGGGGACACCGCCTATCGTTGGGAGTAGCTATTAAATAGACCCACCAAGGGTATTTTTCGAACTGCTGGTGTAGTGTAGTGTAAACATCCGACATAATGATTCATTATGCCAAGGTTTGATTCCCATTTACCCATTTTTTTCTTTTTTGGATCATGAATTTTTTTTTGGGTCACTATAAGATTTGTTTCATGTTCTAAATCTGCTGCATATGTAATCTATTTTTATTTACCTATTTTTTAAAAATCTATTGGATTGCCAAATTTGAATATATTTAAAATCATAAAACTCCAAAAAAACTATAAATATATGTTTTATGCATAGTGCCGATACTCAAATATCAGATTACTTAGATCCATGAATAATATCCGAATTTTTTTTCTTAAAATTAAACTTCAAAACTTCTTGCAATCTTATTCTTCATCAATTGTAAATTTTTAAAACCGTTTTTTAAAATAATTTTGCGTAAATTTTATTCTCATGTTGTTTTAATCGAAAATTGATACATTTTCAAAAAAATAATATTGACTTATGAAATTCATTTTTAAGGTGAAATAGTATTGTTTTTATTAAAGTATATGAATAATATATAAAAAATTAATGAATAATATAAGCAGATTTTTAGTTTACAAAACAAATATGAGCAATGCAATTTCAAACTTTTGCTGGCAATTTCGATATTGCTCAAGTTTGTAGTATTTGTGATACCTATAACATCGGCTTAATCAAAATTCGATTTTTCTTATGAGTTATTGAGAAAATTTGATTGCAATGAGAAGGATTTCGACGTTTTTGATAAACTAAGAGCTGAGCTTTAGGGGTTCAGTTCATTTATGGCTGTAGTTTGATGCGTAGATCTCTTTTTTATTGTAAATTCTTTCAGCATGGAGATCGAGAATGAATCTTTTGAGAACTTTATGAGTTTTTACACCCGTAAAGAGGTCCTTCGAGGAAAGATAGTCCAGACTACATGAAGATGTGGGTTAACCAAAAAAATCCGATGGTTTCCCCATATTCATGTAGATCTTCGAAAAAATGAGCACCAAAAAAGCCAAAAAAATAGGCTTTTTATTGGATTTGTACACTAGATCAATAATCTATTTAGGATCTGATACTCTTTTTAGCCAGAGATATGAGGTCCTTTCTAGGAAAACGATCTATTCATCCATAAAAAAAATGAATTATCGTTTTCCCCAGAAATTACATGGGGAGTGGTAAAAGTAAGGAAAATCTGGGTATTTAAATTAATTTTTTTTATATAGCATACTAACATGTTTATAAGATATAATCATACACAAAACAAATATAGATAGAATACATATGCAATTACAAAAGTGTAATAAGATCTTTGAATTGTTTAAACAATTCTGGGTATTCGGGTAAAAATAAATTTTCTGTTCGTTCAAGCGTAAGCTCTTTTGATTGTTTTTTCTGCTTGAATTGTTGAAATTCTTTCATAATTTTGGTAAAGTTGTTATAAGAGACTGTAGTTTTAGCAGTTTCTATGAAATCATCTTCTAATGTAAATGTGAATGATACTTCAGTTTCACCTTCAAGTAATGAGTCAGTGATAATAAAATCATCAGATTTGTTGACTTTTGTTTTAATTGGAGTATTGGTGACAATTTCTTTCATCTTTATTTTTGCGTTATTAAGTGATTCAAGCTTTTTTGTTAATTGTTGATTATGTTGATTTAAAATTCTGAAGTCGTTTTGCAGTTCAGCAAGTTCTTTTTGCATTTTTTCTTTTTTTGAACTCAACTTCGTCATATTTGTTCTCTCAGTTTTGAGTTTTTCTGTTAATTTTGATTTTGAAATTTGTAATTCACTGATTTTTCGTTGCCAAAATATAATATCTGCTTTATAATATTCATACAGTTGTTGTTCATAAGACTTTATATGATCCATCAAGGATTTTAGTTCTTCATCAGGACTAAAATTCATTTTTTATATATAAAAGGGTCAACACTGGTGTAACCCCCATAAATATTGATTTTATTCATATTTATAGAGCTTCCGTCATTTGTTCGGAATAATGAGCTAAGAATTAATTACTATAAAAGGAAATACATACATACTCAGCTCATCAGATGAAAATTACAATGATTTAGATCTATTATTAATTTTCAATCATCAAGACCGTATAATACTTTTTCTATGAAATTTTACCAAAATATTGCATCAGTTGATATAAATATTTATATAAGAAATATTTCTTTAAAAAATAGAAAAAAATTCAATCAAATTCATAGCTCTTCCTGCATTTGATGCATCTCTTGGCAGCACGAAATTGGTGGCATCCTGGGCATATATAAGGAGGAACTGAAGAGTCAGTTTGCTTTTTTCCTTCTAATTTCTCTTTAAAATCAGAATATTTCTTGAGAAGCTCGTTGTAACCCTGGAAAACTATAGAATTTTCCGAAATTTTCCCATCCGAGCACTTTTTGTTTGGACACTTGAATTCTTCGAAATGATGAACCTTTTCGCCTTCTTTCCAATCTTTGTTTGTCACCCTCTTCATGTGGGCCTCAAGATCCTTTTCGATCTTCTTCAATTTGAAGAAATGATTGCATGTCTTGAAACAGAAATAAAACTCATTTTTATGGAGTTCTTGTGGTTTTGCTCTAGTCCTGTTGTGTTCGCAATTAAAAACGCAAATTTCTCCTTCAGGGCAAATGCATTTTGCTGCACATTTCGGACATTTGTTTGGACATTCTTTCAACTCAGAAAAATTAACGAAATTCATTGGAATTTCCTCATTCGTGTTTGGTGGAATTTCTTTTGGTGTTTCTTCCTTCTTTGGTTGTTCAATCGAAACAAATTGTTCTACTGGAATTGGATTCATTTTTTGCGATTTGTCAGAAACTTCTTTGTCAATATGAGTTTCTGTTTTAGTAATATCATTATTCGGAATGTATGGCATGAATTGATTCTTTGGGTCACTTTTCTGATCATTTTTGACTTCATCTTTTTGTTCTGTTTTGACTGGAATTGTTACATTCTTTTGTGATTTCTTTTTCTTTAGATATTGATCTATTTTGTCCAATGAAGGGAACTCTTCTTCTGCATTGCTGAAAACCAGCTTATTTGTGTTGTTTTGAGTTTTATTTGGAGGTTCAATTTCTTTGAATTTCATGGCATTTTCCTTTTCATTTTCACATACTGGGCATTTTTCGTGGTCATGATCTTTCCTGTCAACACAGAGCAGCATGCACTTGTGACCGCAAGGATATTCAAATCCGCATTTTTCATTGCATGGTGGATGTCCGTGCATTCGACATTCGTAGCATTTTCCTGAGCACTGGTGCCCGCATTCTAAAATGATTGGACATCTTGACATGCATCTGAAATCTTCACCACATATTGCACGAACTTCATTATTGCAAAATTCACAAGTTTTTGTATCAATAGTATCACAAAAGTGGCATGGAATAAATGTATTACTATCATCATTATTTTGATGATGATTATGTCCACATGGCAATCTGCATGGTTTGTTGTGTTTTGCGCAGTTGATTCCACATGGTAATTTGCAATACAACAGTTCTTTGTGGTAATGAATCATGTTGCACTCAAATGAGTTCACATGTCCGCATGGTAGTTGATCATATTCCAACATATTGTGGCAAATATGCTGACAGCCGTGACATTTCTCTTTGCATCTAGCGCCACAAAATTCGCATTGATGCAAACATGTTTCGCAACAAATGATTTTGTTGTGTGCTAAAATGGAGTGTCCTACTTTAAGTGGACAATCGTGACCGCAAGATAGTTTCTCTTTGCATTTATAGTCTTTGCTTTCGATATCAAATTTGTATTTCCACAAATCGTCGAATTTCGATAACAAAAGAGTTTCATTCGAATCCAACAAGTATTTTACAGCAATTCCTTTTCCAAAATCATTGTATTTCGCGTTGAGGAATTTGTAAATTTCTGGCCATGTTTTCTGTTTCGTTTTAGTTTCATCAAACAAATCATTGTTTCCTAAAACGACCAAATAACTTCTTGCTCTTGAGAGAGAAACATAAATTCTCGATTTGTTCTCAATGAAAGAGTTGGATGAAGATTTCGTAAGAGAAAGAATTATGACTTCGTTTTCTTCTCCTTGGAAATTATCCACACATTTCACAACAATGTTTGGTGTGTTGATTTCTTCTCCATCTTCGTATCTCAAGAAAGGATCGAAAACAGAAAATTCCTGATTGTTCTTTTTGGTTTCCCAAACTTGTTTGATTTTCTGTTTGATCAAATCTTCTTGGCCTTTGTAGTATGTCAAGATGGTGATTTGATCTCCATTGAATCCTCTGTACAAGAAAAAGAATGCGCAGTAAACAGCCAAAATCGCTTCACCGTCATTTGTTTTGGATCTTGTTTCTCGAGCACTTTTATCATTGAAATCATGGCAAAAGAAAGAAATCCTGTTTTCTATTTTATATCCATCCAATGAGCTGTTTTCTAAGTCATTGTTCATCTCATTGCATAGGATTTCTTTTATTGGCAATGATATTTCTTGGTGCATTCTTCTCTGGATGTTCAAAAAGAATAAATCAGGTGAATTAATCTCTTGTGCTTTCAGAACTAATCTCTCGAATGTTGAAACATCAAAAGAATAGGCTTTGCACTGCTTCTGTTCAAGCTCAAATTCAACTGCAGGTCTCAGCTGTTTGTAATCACCAATCATCATTAAATTTGTTACTTTTCTTGGAATGATTGATATTGTTGCTGCCTCAGTCAATTCGCCTGCTTCTTCGATTATCATGTGAGAAATGTCGGATTTCTCAAGCGCTTCTTTGTATCTGGAAGCGTATGATGCTGTCATTATGATAACTTTGTGTTTCTTATAGATGTCTGATAGGATATCAATCAATTTCTGCTCAATTTCTTTTGATCTTGTATCGATTGTCACTTTGTAATCATTTCTCCAATCGATCAAGTTTAACAATGCATATCTAACAAACAAGTACATTTGTTCAAACGGTTTTAAGTTCTTGTTATAGAAGATTCCTTTCAAGAACAGGTTGAGGTGTACCATTCTTTCGTCAGAATTCAAATTTGTTTTGATTTCACCATCAAATGTTTCGTCAATTGAAAGTTCTTCATTGTTTTCTTCCAAGTGAATTTCGATGTTTTCATCTTCATCATCGGAACTATCATTGTCGCGCAATTCGTGGATGTCTGTATCAGTGTATTGAATCTTATCTCTGCAATTTGATTCCGGATGTTCTTTTGTTATTAGAGAGTCAGGATAAACTTCTCCTTCCCTTGGAAAATAATTGAATTCCTCATCATTTGTATCAAATTTGATTTTGTAACCTTTGTTTGTGAGTTCTTCCATTTTGAGCTTATAAAAATTCTCATCAAACCAGAATCTCACATACTCTTCATCTGTTATTCTATCTTCGAATCTAAATGAAGTGTTTCCTGTGAAGAAAGTTCTGTATCTTGAAAAATCAATGAACTTTTTGATTACAAGGAATTTCTGACAAATCAAATCATAATCATTGTTTTCATTAATAATTGTCTGCTTTAGAAGTAGAGCGAGATCATACACTTTAGGAATGATATTGTTGAACTCTTGGATTGATTCTAAAGCGTTGTTAAGTGATGCTTTCAATGATTTGTAAGCAGAATTGTAACTTGATTCAGAGAGTAATTCATTTTTGAATGAAATAGATTGGATATCATCATCAATTTTATTGCTGATTGCAGCATGTCTCAAGATTTTTTCTTTTGGAATGATTTTTAATAAACTCTTGGAAATTTCATCCGCTGCGTGTTTCTTCTGAGTGACAATCAAAATTGGAGAATCTCTGTGAGATAAGACATAAAGGAAAACACTCTTCACTGCAAGATAAGTCTTTCCTGATCCTGCACATCCACTTACAAAAGTCAATTTGCTGCTGAAGAAATTAATGAGTGGCTTGATCTGTTCATGATCAACAGTAAAATATCTGTCAATGATTTGGTCTGATGTTAATCCTTTGATGTCTAAATTCTTACAAATTTCAAAGGCATTGAAATTTTGAGTGTAGATTTCATCGTTTTCTGAGAAACCGCTTTTTTCACGATATTCTTTTTTGAGAATATTTAGAGGATTAAATCTGAAATATTCTATATCTCGCCACATATTGATATTCTTGATATTGTTTGTGGCGATTGCTTTCAATACATCTCCATAACATTTTTCATGCATGTTCTTGATTGATTTCATTCTAATTTCTGATGGAATCCATGAATTAATTGATTCAACCATGAAATAGTTTTTTCCAGGGAGAATTTCTCCTTTTAAAAGAGAAACAGGAACAACAGAATGCTTGAACATATAAATAAACTCATCAGTAGAGTTCTTGTGTATCTTGCTCGGCATTTGTGAATAGCAGATTGCGTCAATTTTGTTGAAATTCTTGTCCAACGACAGAAACAGCAAACTTTGGTTCGTCAGCCTCTTCGTGTGGTGGAGGTTGATTGGAACTGAGTTCCAGTTGCTGCAGCAAAACACTTCAAAATGGAGGAAGAGTTCGTGGTTTTGTATAGAGGTCTTAATTTCAGGTTTAAATGACACAGTTCGGACATTGTGGTAAATAAAAATGTCACGGAAATCTAATTTTCCTTCTGAGAGTTTTTTCAGTGATCTTTTGATGGATAAACTGAAGTTGAGTTTCTCAAGACCAATGAAGCAATCTCCGAACTTCTCGATAGATGTAAATCCTTCACTAGCAATATTTGTGATGTTTGGGTTCTCGTTTTTAAGATCTTCTTCTGTAGGTAAAATTTCGAAATCTCTGAGAGATTTCTTCATTGATTCTTGAGTGTTTATGAACTGATTAAGATCTTTTTTAAGTGTCTCAACCAAATCTATGTATTCTTTAGAATTCTTACCATTTGATAAAATTTTGAGGCACTTATCTGTAATTTTAAGAATGATTTTAGCTTGTGGAAGCACATCGATAGATATGCAACGAAGAAATGAAATAAAATTTGTTAAATCTCCGTGAAAGAAAAATTTTTGAATTATTTGTTTCAGAAAACTTTCCATGATAAATTTTCCGTATTTAAAGAATATATTGGTGTATTTCTCTTTGTGGTCAAGCGCTGGATCGTTTAAAACACATTCTTTAGAGAATATTTCTGTTAATTTCTTGATAATTTCGTATTTACCTGATGATTGTTCTATAAATGCGACATATTTGCCAAGTTCTTCTCTGTTTTCATAGAGTTTTCCAGGAATTTCTTTATCGTCATATTTGATCCAAAAAAATATATAAAATTTGATCATAAATAAAATCGTTTTAAATTACTTCTTCATTTAAATTATAACAATTATTTTTGGTTTTATATTTTTTTGGATCAAATCCATTTTAATAGAATTTATATACTATTCATCTATTAGTAAACACTACCGTATATTATTTTTTAAGCTATCTTATTTTTTGAACTTTTATTCAAATCTTTGGTCGCAAGAAGAATTGCATGATAAATAAAAACATTTAATCAAAGTCACTTTTATTTTTCATATTCAAATGGACTGAGTGTTAACATTTAACATTTTTTGCTAATTGTCGTCAAAAATTAGGCGTAAAGCAAAAATTGATATTTCATATGGTTTTATGATAGATAAGCATTATATTCCCACTCATTATATTCGTAAATTTTGAGGTTTATCCTTCGCTTTTAAGATCATTGAATTTGATTTTTATATAAAATAGTTATATATTAGAAAATAATATGAGTTTATGTGATATTATTTTTCAGAAGATTTTGTGTTCTTCTTCAAAATTTTATTTTTATTAAAAAGAATCTTTACAAAATATACATTTACTTTAATTAATATTTAAAAACGTGCTCTATCAAAAGTTCCAAAAATTCAATATTTTAGCTTTTCTGAGGTGTCACTTTTGATGAATTTCTGTTTACAACATAGATTTGCTTTTTTGTCATTCCTCGAAAAAAAATCTTAATAATTATTACAATAAAGGATGGAAATTTATAAAAATGGTCCATATTTAGATATGTATTCTTTTCTTCCATTATATTGTCCTCCAAAGTTCTTTCTTACTCATCTTAATCACACATTCTATTTGTGAATGATATCTGCCCTTATACAATGCATAGCTATGGATAAAATTGAGTATTAACTGAAATACTGCACAATGGGTATGCCTATAATTACTAAATAGCTTGAACTATTTATGATACATTTATTATTTCAAATAATTGAATATATCCTCAATTTTGAGAACAATGATCTTTCAGATCTTTATGGTAATTCTGTTTTCAAAATTGCTATGTCTTGAATGGAATTTTTCGGAACAATATATAAATTTACTAAAATTACTCGATATGATCATAATTATAAGATCGATCAAAATTCTGAAAAAAAATTTTCTTTTCTCAAAAAAAAGGTCCGTTTGAGCACGGTTTCATTCCATCTTCCATCAAAATTTCAATGATTATTTTGATGGTGTATACCAACAAGTAACAAATGGTTCTTATTCAGTTGGAAGAAGCTATTGTGTCGAAAATTGCTTCTTTCAAGATCTTAAAAATCGCGCAGTTTATTCATCAAGTAATTCTAAATTTCTTATTGAAGACACTACATTTGTTAATGTGTCACATCCATCTGATGATGGAGGTGGAGTGTATACTGCAGATGGAGAAACAGTTCACAACAGAATTTGTTCTTTTAATTGTTCGACAGTAAGCAATGGGCAATATTGCTATAGCCGGTCATCACAAGGATCTTTCAAAAATTTCGTTATACAAAGTTCGTTGTCAAGATCATTTGAAAACTCCTTTGGTGCTGCTCCCACGCTCCTATTATATGGAAACCAAAACTTAACTAAAACAAATATTTCATATTTTAGAACTGTTGAAATTTGCGGATATCAACTGCAAGAAGGCGAAACAGAATCAATGTCCGCTTATAATTCAATAATAAATAATACATCTACAGACAATAATTGCATTAGGAACCAATTTTTCCCAATTGTTTCTATAATTCACTGTAATATCATTAATAACTCTGTAAAAGACCGTATTTTTAGTAATTACAGATGTTTTCCATTAATTATTGATGCTTGCAACATTATTGATAACTCAGGATTTTATACTTTTTATGTCGAAGATTTTGGACGAACACAAGTTAATAATTGTTTCCTGAGAAATGAAGGCAGCACTTGTGGAGTAATTTCCATTGAAAATACTTTAGCTGTTGAAACAAATAACGAAATAAAGCATCTCTCTACTGCCTTTTGTTATACCCTTAGAGGTTTAAAGCATCGTTCACCTTTTAAAGATATTAGATGCCTTAGATCAATTCATTTTTATATTTTTGTTATTTTAAAACAAAAATAAACAGAGCTTTGTATTACACATACAACAAATATACATATTTTCTTCCGTCCAGGATTAATGCTCAATAGATGTAGTCAAATGCGACATTTTTTTTTACTTCACTTGGCAAACTTTTTCCAACAAAAATTCTGGTAATTTTTTTGATTCTGAGTCAAACTTTTAAAAATTACTGGTAATATTATATCCTATCATATTGCAATTTTGTAAAGAAAATTTTGCTTTAGACTTTCTCAAATTTTTCCAGAGGAAAATTTCCAATCAAAATGTTTTTAGGCGATTTGCTCGATTGTGGTCATGAAGGCGAAGTTTATGACGCCGTATATATGGGATGCCAAGGATATTGCGCCAAGAAAGTTCCTGAAAATAAAAAATACACATTAGAAATGTCTCAATACATTTATAATTTAGTCAATAGTGAGTTTTTCATTCCATGTTATGGAATCTTATATAACGATGGAGATCCATGCTTGGTAATGAAAAGAGCAGCTGGTACACTCGTTGATTTTATCGAAAATCCAAGTTATTTTGGTTTACATTATGAAGACTTAGATATCTTACTCTATCAAACCGCATTAGCCCTTAAGCAGTTAAAGGACCACAACTTATACTGGGGAGATCTCAAGCTCCAAAACATTTTGGTCGATTCTTTTGTTCCAAGAGCATACATTTGCGATTTTGGATCGGCAAAGTTCCTCAATAACTGCGTGGTCGAGGAAGGCGATGTCTTCACAGAGCTTTACAAGGCTCCTGAAGTTGTAAAGGGTGCAATTGTAACTCCTCAAGCAGATTTGTTCTCTTTTGGTGTCATGATCTACATTGCTAAGGTAATGGCCCCTCCTTTCACAGTTTCAGACGATTTCCCTCAATACGATGGTTCCGAGGAAGATTGCCAATTAAGAGAGGAAGCCTGTATGTACAAGCTGAACACAGAAAGAGACAAGTTCAAGTTCTTGGACTGCGACTGCCAGGAGCTGTTAATCAACTGTTTGAAAGTAGATCCAAGAGAAAGATGGACAATTGAGGACGTTCTCAACTCCAGGTTCTTTTCTTGCTTCAAGTACCAGTAAGAAATTTGGCTTATTTATTTGAATATGATTTTTAATCTTTTGTTTGTTTTTTATTATAAAGGAATTTTAGAAATATGATTCGTTTTTGTGGATTTATGTGGATACAACTCGTTATGATTGATTTCTTAATGTTGCTTTTGAATTTTATTAGTTGTAATTTGTGAAAGAGTCAATCAATTATGGATTTCTATGTTAAGTATAAGTTGTTTCGGTAGAGAATGATTATATCTTCGTCAATATAATAATCTTATCGTAGAAATATTATTTCAAGATCGAAGATTTGATATTAAATAAGAATTAGTTATACTCTTAAGATGGCTGTTGGATTTGAATATCTACCAACTTAAAGAAATTGATGGATAAAGAGAATGTTGATAGGATTTCTATCAACAAAAAAAAATTGAATGTAAACTATAGAAAAAAAAAGCATCATTCAAAAAAAATGTCTGTTGTGTCCAAGATCACGGAGCTTATTAAAGATGAAGGCGCTGCAGAATATTTATCAGAAGTACTTGAAAGTGCAGAAACAGCTGAAGAATTTGCTGAAATTGCAAATCCTGTTATTGAAGGACTTGATTTAGGTATTTCTGAAGATGAAATTAACAGTTTGTCAACAAAAATCTTTGCACTGAAGTCACCTGTCGAAGAAGAACAGCAAACAACAATCGAAACTCCAATTAAAATGAACGAACTCATCGGAATCACAAAAGAAGAAGAAAAAGTCGAAGAGAAGGTAGAAGACCAAACACCAGTTACAACAAGTACAACAGAAGTATCAACAAGAACGAGCGAAAGGCTTAAATACGATGATATCGAAAATTCTTTCTTCAAAAAAGGAATCTATTTCCGCCATTCACTACCTCATGGCCCAAAGGACTTTGTCCTTTTGAACTTAATCATCGACATTGGTCCAAAAGTCTTAATCGACGAGCCATCTCTAAACATGGCCGTGGGAAACCGCTACGGACTTGTTGGCAGGAACGGTATGGGCAAGACAACATTCATGCGATTCATAAATTCGAGGTTTATTCAGCAAGTTGCTTTATCATCAGTTCCTCCCGATGTTTCTATAGTACATGTCGAACAAGAATGTCCCATCAGCAACAGAACAGCCCTACAAACAGTCCTAGACTGCGACATCGAGCGTACAGAGCTTCTTGAGAAATTAAAAGATTTCGAAACTCATCCCGACAACGATCCGAACGAAGTACACCGCGTAATGAACAGATTGTCAGAGATAGGAGCCAAAACCGCCGAAAGCAGGGCAATCAGCTTCCTTACAGCGCTTGGATTTGATACGAACATGATAAATTCACCGGTGAAGGACCTTTCTGGTGGATTTAGAATGCGTGTTTCTCTTGCCCAGGCTCTGTACATCAACCCTGACGTCCTTCTGCTCGATGAACCCACAGGACACTTGGATGCCCCATCAATCTGTTGGCTGGAAGAGTATCTGACGACTCAGTGCAGTCACATGGTTCTGGTCGTCATCTCCCACGACAGGATCTTCCTCGACAACGTCTGCACCCACATCATCCACCTGAAAGACAAGAGGCTGACAGTTTACAAAGGAAATTATTCCTCTTTTGAGAGGCAGTTCGCGGAGAAGTGCCACTTGCTGGAGGTGCAGGCCGCTCTGCAGAAGAAGGCAATCGATCACAAGATGGATTACGTCAGGAGATTGGGCGCAAGAGCTGCTTTCGCGAAGATGGCCAAATCTCGTCTGACTTCCATCAAGAAAATGAACATTATTAGGACAATATCAGCTGACGAGGAGATAAACTTCTTCTTCCCTACAGGAACAATCGCGTCTACTGAAGAAATTATAAAATTAAATAACGTTTTCTTCCAATACAACCCTTCCAAGGTCATATTCGAGAACTTGAACATTACCATAAACAGAGACTCTAGAATCGTCGTAATCGGAGGAAACGGCGCCGGAAAATCAACTTTCATAAAATTGTTGACAGGTAAACTATCTCCAAACAAAGGCGAAGTTGACAGAGCTACCAACCTCCGCATCGCATATTTCAACCAACATCACGTAGATCAGCTCGATTACAGGACATCTCCGCTCGACTACATGAAATCTAAGTTCGAAGGCCAGTACACGCGCGAGAATATCATGGAGCAACTCTCCAAGTTCGGGATTAGAGGCGACAGCTTTTACCAGCCAATTCAATCTTTGAGTGGCGGCCAAAAGACAAGAGTCGTGCTCGCCGAATGCGCTTTATTGAGACCACACCTTCTTCTACTCGATGAAGTAACAAATAACTTGGATATGGACTCAATCCACGCTTTGGGTGAAGGATTGTGCGTTTACGACGGAGCGATTGTCGCTGTATCTCACGACCAACACTTTGCAGAGCTACTCGATGCGCAGATCTACGTTTGCGAGAAGAAAAACATCATTAAGTACAACGGATCCTTCGCAGATTACAGAGCTGAAGTGAAGGATTACATCAGAGAGACGTACTTCCAGAAAACAGACTTGTCATGAGTTTAATCTTTTGTATTTATATAAAATGTTTGTTTATTTTCAAAAAAAAATGTTTTATTTATCCAATGATTGGAACTCCTTCATCACTCAACCATTCGAAGTTCCATGTAAAATTTTAAAATTGGGTCCGTCACTTATTTGACAAAAAAAATATTTTGAAATAAAAAAGTGACAAAAATGGAAGCGAATAAACTTCCAGAACTCAGCAGCATTGCTTTTGATTCAAGTGAAGTTGCAGATTTATCAGCTCAGAATATCAATACTTTTTCTTCAATTGAAAACTTACTTCCTCGTACAGATATTTCGATTATCAAAATCCGTTCAAATAACGTACAGAAATTTGATAAGGAATTTTTCAACAAACATAAGCGTATCAAGTATTTAGACGTTTCAGATAACGAAATACAAGATCTGATGGGTATTGAATTGTTAGAAGATCTTGTTTTGCTTGATTGCTCAAAAAACTTCATTAAACGTCTATCAAATCTCGAAAAGTGTGTATCCTTAAAACGTTTGCTCATTTCTTCCAATGAAATTACAAATGTTTTTCTAAAATCTGCCATTCCTAAACTTGTTGTGCTTGATTTGCATAAGAACCAGCTTAAGAAGATAGATTTCGGTAAATATTTTCCTTTAGTTTCCGAACTTTACTGTGATAATTGCCAATTAACTTCATTAAACGGTCTTCAAGAATTCGCATCATTAAAGCACTTCACGGCCAAAGGAAACATGATCTACGATGTCGACAATATCGCTAGTAATACTTTGGCCGATTTAGACCTAACAGGAAACAAAGTTTCGAAACTTTCATTTATTTCAAAATTTCCTAACTTAGTTTTCATAAATGTCTCTCAAAACCCAATTACGGATAAATCGCTCGAAGGAGTGAAGCAATGTCCTGCAATTCGAGCATTTCGTTGTTCTAACACAGATATAACAAGGATTTCTCCTTTTCTGATGCTAGTTCCTAACATTGAGCTTCTTGAGCTTGAGAAAACTAAGATAAATGACTACATTGATGTTATTACTTTTGTCAAAAAGTCAAAGAAGCTCAGATTACTTAGTTTGAGATTTACTCCTCTTACTAATAGTTTGTATACCTTTAAAGATAACGAAATGTCCAAAAAATGGAACTCTTTGGAGGAATATCAAAATGAAAGAGGAGTTAATGAGGAATTACAGAAATATAGACAAGGAATTCTTGATGCTGGTCAACTTATTGAGATATTGGATACTATTATTGTTACGGATCAAGAGGTTTTAAATGGTAATTATGAATATGAAGAATCTCTTCATGAGAATGCAAGTGATGAGTTTGAAAATGAAGAGGAAGATCAAATTTATAAGCCTTTACCTTTACAACCTATCTCTACTAACTTTTCTGAAGTCGAAACAACAGAATTTTCAACTCAAACTGAAAATCAACAGCTCCATATCAGTAAAGTTAGTAATTCATATGAAATCCAGCTAAAACAAACCCAACTTTCGAGTCACAATGATGTTTTGATGAAAATTGATCCGAAACCGAAAATAAATCTGAGTCTTTCTCAACCGGGATCTTTCGAAGTTGCAAAACCAGATGTAAAATTATCAATTAAAGCCGATAATCTAGCTGATGTCCAGCCAAAACAAAAGCCAAAATTTGATTTTTATTCTCAAAGTTTGTTCGCTGTTGTTCCGATTCCAAAGAAAGAAGAAAGAGTTGTTTGTATCAATATGTCAGGTTGCAGTCCGTTAATCTCAATAGAACCCAAAGTTAAAAAATTATCCCAAAAAACTCAACAAGTTTTCTCTTCATCCCCCCAGAAGAAGCAATTGTCAAACAAAAAGAGTGCTATATTTGAGCAGAAACCAGCAAACAAACCAGTTTTAACTGTCAAAAGTAATCAAATTTTCGAAATCAACAAGAAAGTCAAGCTTTCTAAGACATCCACGCAAATATTCACCCAAAATGCTAAAAGAAAAACCAACATGCTTCGCCATTTCGAAGTCTTATACGATAAGAAAATTTCCAAACCACAAATCAGTTTTAATGCTGTTTCTTATGAAATAAATCAACAAGAGGATCCAAAGATCGATATTAGTAAGATTGATATCGAAAAAAGAGATAGAATTATCCGAAAATTAATGCAGAAGAATGAAGAGCTCCAGGCCAAGATTTCTGAGCTTAGTGTCGATAAAGGTAGTGATTTTAAGCGCCAGATTGAAGAATATGCAAGAAAAATCAAACATCTCAAGCAAAGTCAAGAAAAACATTTGATTGAGATAGGAATTCTCCGTGAAAGAACGAGATCTCAGTCTATAGAGATAAGTAAACTCTTAGATAAGATCCCATCCAACGATACTCAATCAATGTCTTTAATTGAAAAGATGTTCAACGCTGTAGAAAGTCAAAATCAGTTCTTGGTCAGGAAAGTATCTGCAATTAAGCCACAGGTTGTCGAAAATGAGGATAAATCCATTTTAATGGTAATTGATAATTTATTGAAGCAAAATCGAACACTTCATAATGAAATCATTAAGAGTACATTACAACATGACGAATCTTCGGTCACAGAATCCTCTGAAATCAGTTTATCTCCAAAGAAAACTCATCATAAGAAGAAAAACATTGATTCGCGAGTTATCGCCCGCCAGTGGCAATCTCAAAGCCAGTATAGCTCATCTGCTGCAAGCGAAATTGAAGAATCCGAATCTACTTCTTATTCATATCTCCCTTCAGAATATGTTCTAAGGAAACCTTCGAAACATAGATCTCATAGAGAACATGATCGTAATCCATTTGGATTGTCTGGAGACGCTCCTCTTTGGAGTCCAGACAGATATCAAAAGCGGAAAACGGAGGGGAATCCATCTTACTCCATATCTTCGTATGTATAGATTTTGTATATATTATTATTTTTGTCTGCGTATATAAATATTGTTTGTATGTGTATTATTTTATATGAAATTTATAATAAGTTTTTTTGAGTGATCGGAGCTATCATATTAGAAGTATCTTGTAAGTAAAAGGTACTTCATGGGATATTATTGTAAAAAAAGAAAGAAAATTAATAACAATAAATACAAACAATTTATAAGCGAACATGGTTATCAAGAAGTCTAGCAAGAGTGTGCTCTGGTATGATTGGCTCAGTGGAATTAGCCTTATACCTTAAATTCTTTGATTTTTGAATTGGTTCTGCGCACACACATAGTAATAGTTTCTTTGTAGGAGAGTTAAGATATGAGTTATCTAGGGAATCGCAAAAAGAGTTAATCTCATTCATTCTCTCTTGAAAAATTTCTTGCATTTGGCCTTTCTTCTGGAATTTAATAGAATTCAGAAGTTGGGCGATCTTAAATCTCTGCAAGTCAGTAGTTTCTTTATCCATGATATAATCAATAAGCTGATTTATGAGTTTGTGGTAGAAGTTAAGAGGAAGTCTAAGAACAGCTGTCTGAACAGATGTAAGGAATGATAATGTCCATGTGCCATCACATTTCTTAGATTCTTCTATAATTCGGGTGTATAGTGTGTTGATCATCTGTGAATAAAATGTGTACTTTAGAAATTTTATTTATTGAGATCACACATTGAATTTAAGCACGTTTGGTTATAAAAATTTTTGGATTTTTCTTATTATAGAATTAATGTAGATCATAAATGAATTTTACAACACAATTGAAATTTTGAAAAGTTGCCCTTTCTCAAAAAATAAAGTTTTGAGAAGTCTAGAGATTTTAGGTTTGTTGCATTATACATTGATGTAAATGATTTGTTTTTGAAAAAAATTTTCAATATGGTTCATTTCAATTCAGAATTTGCAACGTGTAGACTTTGCTAAAAATTGTACTATATCCATAAGCGAATAAGAAATCATTGATGTAAAAATTTGTGAAAAAAGACAATATTGATATCAAGTAGGAATTAAAGCTAATTCCAAAATCAATGATAATTTAATTGTGAGTGTTGATTCAATAATCTAGCATATTGAATTTCAAAACATTTCTAGTTTAATCTACAACATATTATCAATAATATTTCTTAATAAACTCTCACTTTTAATAACTATCACAAAATTCAAATTTCATTAATACCCTTAATTCAAAATTTTAATATTAATTATATATAGAATAATAATATGATAATCAATCTTTCCTCTGACTATTTTGACATCTTTTTCTTCTCAAAATTATAAATTCAATAGATAATTCGCCGGTTTAATCTTATCGTTTATTCTACATCTTCAATGAGCTTAATTAATGATTATTTAATATATTTATGGCATTATTATATTTATTAACTCAACATTAGAATGAAATTAATTGATTTCAACATTTAATTTCATTTGAAATCTATGAAATTTTTGCTTTCGAAATATTTAATTGGTATCCTGTCATTATCTCTAAGAATGCACACAATAAAAAAATCAAATTAATCAAAAACTTATTACAAAATTAACAAGACATAGCTCAAATTGTGTTTTAAAAGTGAATTATATTATAAATATGCAAGTATATTGTGATCCACTTGTTAGGAAATGATTTCATTGTTATTGTATTCAAATGACAATATGATCACAAAACACACTTTTATCAACCAATATCTGTTATAAATACTAATTATATATACACGAACTAAGTAGTATATTCATACATATTAAGTATCAGAAAGTTATTTGTATAAAAAATATACGTATCCCCCAATAAGCTATCTATAATCTAATCTCAAGCCAAATATACCAACTATGATTCCATATTTTGTTCCCTTAATATTATTTTAATTTGAGGAATACTGTCAGTGATTTTGAATGGGTATTGCGGCTTTAGTGTGCTATATTGAATTTTCATGGACCTAAATTGGCAAAGTCCATAATAGGGACGTTTCAGCATGCATATAAAATATATATAGTATTTAGAACATTTTTTTGTCGAAATTGATGAAAATCAAATAAATATTTTTTTGAGATTCAGCATATAATATCAGAAGTTACATATATTATACATTAACATAAGTATATGTATGGATTTAACAACTTTACCCCTTAAAATTTCGCTTAGGAAGGGAAAAGGAAAAAAAATAATAACAAAAACTAGAATCGAACTTGATCGGGATGTTATCCAGCTGAGCTATAATCAATTGAAATATTTCTATAAAAGAGAATTTAAGATCGCTAAATACCGCCAATTTTCTAATTCATGCAATTCTCCTCAAATGATATGGATAAATTTATTTCATTTAACTACAGGAATATAAATATTAAATAAAAATCAAGAATGTAATTTTGATTTTTAACCCACGAAAATTACCTTATATTTTTTATTTTGATTTAGCGTTTAAATTAGATTTTATTAATATTTATTATAATTTTGGCTTCCCAAAATCACTTTTAGGAATTTTTTCAAAAATCTCACTCAAACTTAATATTCTAACTTATCACTATTTGTATAAAAGAAATTTTAGATTTATCTTTAAAAATATTATTTTGGACAACTTTGTCACGTTTTGAGCTATCCGACCACCCATTATCTGATGCTTCTATAAGCGCCCTGGCTGAATGGTCATTCTAAATATTTTAAAATAGGCCAAAAATATCGACCTCAAAAATTCAATGTGGCCACTCAAAGTTAAAATACCCATTCAAAATCACTGACAGTACAAATATATCAGATTGAGAGTTAAGTATTCATCTTTAATATAGTTTCAATGATCAAAAGCATAATTTTAGTACAGAATAGTTAGATCTATTATAATTTTTCAAAAATAACATTTGGACATTTTTTCCAAAAAATGATATTGGAAAAGTACAACAAATGGAATAGAATTCATTTTGATAGAAAGGTGGTGATTTTTAGAAAATAGCCTAGACACAATGCTTATAAATAGCCGCGACAAATACTCAGAAAAAAAGTGGTGAAAATTTTAAAATTTTCTAATAAAAAAAATTTTGAATTCATTTTTCTTCTACACTTGGTGGGAAAATGGAAGGCGCAATTAGGGAATACTATTCTTTGTTGACTGAATCTGATAAACAAGAGTATAATTCTTTAAGGCAATCTCTTACTTCCTCTGAGTGTAGAAACTGTCGACATAAAAGATTAGAAAATTTCAACGATATGCTGCAAAGAATTCACAAATATATTAATAAAAATGATGGTGATGACTGGAAAAGAGCACTTGTATGTGGAGTCTGTTGGATAAGTGATGGAATTGCGATAAATACGCACCAATTATCTTATCTCCTCGGAAAATGCAAAAGCTCGATAAATGGATCTCTTCACAAGCTTCAGTACTCCCCATTCCCTTCCAGTAACCAAGCTTCTAAAGAATTGATGGAAATTATTCCTCGACTCAAATCAAATTTTGCTGAGTTGAGACAATGGACGCTCAGAAAGCACGTGATTATGACGCCACAGCCTAATATCATCCATGAAGTTACGCCAACTTCGCTTACTCCCGTTCCTCAGATCGATTTCGACCCTTCAAGCGCTTTACCTGTCCAAACGAGTACAGAGGTTGCCTCAGTTGGATCAGCAGAACCGTTCTTCGATGATGACTACATGTTACCATTTCAACAATGGGCCAACATCGATGAATAATTTGACAAAGATGTTGTATTTTATTTTATAGAGTTGTTTATATTTTGTATAGTACATGATGTATGTTATTATGTATGATTTTGTTTTATTTTATTTAAATTTTAATATCAAAATAACGTTTTATATCTTATTATAAGTTTAATGGCATGTGATTGAATGGAGATGATAAAATATAACAAGCTCAGACATATTATTTATTCATTTTAATTTTTTTTTTTATTAAATGTAGCTTAGCTGAGAAGATATGGTATATATGTGACTTATAATAAATGAGAGTTTTGATCTGATCTCTAAAAATTTAAGAGTTTTTATGGTAATAATTCGTAAAAGATGAGAATTAAGTAATTACATCTCTTGAAATTCAAGCTGTAGTTATAAGTTTTGTTTTATATCTAGATGATTCAATTGTAGAATTGTATTTAAATTCTAAAGAAAAGGTTCTTGAATGGATTGAATCCATTTTAATGATTGGTTTTGTAATGCTTGCTGAGGTATACTATTTAGCGGCTTTAAATACTTTGTTACAGGAATAAATGGATGGGAAATTATTTATTAAGGGAAAATCAGTCAGGATTAGTCATATACTATCTCAGTTCAAATAGTCTGTATGATATTAAGGCCTCCTGAATTTCCAAAATAATTTTCAAATCAAGAAAATGAATATGAATCTAACATTTTATGAACCGATAATTTGTTTTTTTGAATTTTTTTTGGAGGTTTGATAATTAAAATCAAATTTTCGTTACAAAATTCGAATTATTAAAAAATTTTACATAATAGGATTATCAATGTATTAATGAAATATTGCATTTATGGTGTTAATTCAAAAACAAAATCAATATATGAAATCTCAATCTTGATCATAACAATTTTAATTAAAAAATTCGATCCATTTCAGATAACCACACTAATTGAAAGCAATATCTACTAGTACATTCAAAAAAGATCTACTCTCAAATTCAAATAAAATAAGCAGAGAGTCATTCTTAAACAACAAGATATTTTTATCCGAATCATACATTCTGAGGCCTAGGGAAGGAGTATTTACGTTTTTAAAAGATTATTAAAACCAATTTTTTAGTGAATATTCATAAAATGCTTTGAACAGTACTCCGTGACCATTGATGTTACTAGTTGACTTGTGATTGTGTCATTAATTAAGCAAGAAATTTATAATTCATAAGGTTTTATTTGTGAAATTTAGACAGAAAAAGATTTTATAAAAATCGCACCGAATTCTATCCTTATGAAAAAAAAGGTAGTGGGGCTTCCAGGCGCGTTGCGCCCTCTAGCCCCGAAGATGTTTAGTATAAATGAAGTTTTTATTCGGAGGGCTTCCAGGCGCGTTGCGCCCTCTAGCCCTGAAGATGTTTAGTATAAATGAAGTTTATATTCGGAGGGCTTCCAGGCGCGTTGCGCCCTCTAGCCCCGAAGATGTTTAGTATAAATGAAGTTTTTATTCGGAGGGCTTCCAGGCGCGTTGCGCCCTCTAGCCCATAAAAAATTTCTGAGGACGAGCCAGCCGGTGACTTTTTTGTAGAGCACTCAAAATAGTATAACTTTGTCCGGACAAGTAAGGGTCTATCGTCGCTACAGGAAAAGTTACAGGCATTCCAAGGAAGTATACTTTGAGAAGCCTTTTTCCCATTATAGAATGAGATAGGACGGTTATTTTACAAAACTGACAACACTTTGACCGAGTAGTTTTTTGTGCTGAACAAAAAGTGTCATATAAACATCTGTCAAAAACCGTTTTTTAACTTCACTTAAAATGCCACGTAAGCTACGTAAGAATATACGTAAGAGGAAGGGAGCATTGAAACATCCAATAGTAAAACTGACACCACAACAACAGTTGCAACAACAAATGATGAATGACCCCACTATGTTGCAACAAATGTCAAGCAACCCTATGCTTTTAAACCGAGTTATTGGTGCACAGAGTGGAGGTTTAAGAGCGGCACTTTTAGCGAAAATGGCAGGCTATGGTGGAGCTGCAGACGGAACAGCTTATAACCCTCAAAGTCAAATGAATTTGAGTTCACTCAAAAATCAAATAACAGATGTCAAAAAGTCAAACATAGACATACAGAAACAAATAAGTGAAAACGAAAAGAAACTAGAATATGACAGACACACAAAGAAACTCAATGAGTTAAACGTAGAGAAAAAGAAGAAAGAAGAACAACTGAAAGAACTAAGTACAGAGGAATATGCGAAAAAAGTGTCAGAAAAAGCAGCAGAAGTAGCAAAAATGGAACAAGATGTTATAAATTTGAAAAACCATACTACTCAATATAAAGTACTGAAAGATGAAGAGATAAAACAAAAAGCCATGAAGACATATATGGATAGCGATGAGTATAAAAAAGAAGTTGAAGCAAATGTAAAGGCAGAAAAACTTTTACAGTTGCAAAACCAAACCGTACAGTATGAAAACTTAGCACAAGAAAGTAAAAATAACGACGCAGCCATGCAAAAGGCAATGAAAAGCGCAGAATATATAAAAGCTAATAATGACTGGTTAGATGCCCAAGCCAACGCTAAAGCAGCCCAACTTATAGGGTCAATAAGGACAAAAATACAAGCGGATGAAGACAGTTCAAATGAAGCTTTAATGAATGCTGACTTTAAGAATGCCTTCGAAGCTCTTCATAGTAAGGTGAAACTAGTGAACGACTTCTCATCTGGAAAGAAACTGAAGTCTGAAAGTTTCGACAAAGAGTTAAGAGAAGTAGCACAAAATATGACGAAAATAACAGATGCAGCAACGAGACAGGCAGTTCAAAGTGCCTATGACGCCGTTAGAGCAACTGTTGTGGAAAGTCAAGAAAAAGAGTTACAACAGACCAAAACAGACCTAGTAAATGCTTTCTTAAAAACGAAAAGTCAGGTAGGACATTATGCTGCAGATGGAACATATGTGCCAGCTGGTGGAACTTATATACCACCAAACCCTCCAAGGGAAGCACCTGCACCAGGACTACCTAAAACATTTACATCGTCACATGGACACAGACACAGGCATGCACCAAAACCAACACAACAACCAACAGTTCAAAATCCAGCACCACAACAACAACCAAAACCAACAGTTCAAAATCCAGCACAACAACAACAACCAACACAACAACCAACAGTTCAAAATCCAGCACAACAACCAAAACCAGCACAACAACCACCTCCACAACCAGCACAGCAACCAACAGTTCAAAACCCTGCACAACAACAACCACAAACAGAGCAAGGACATAAAAGAAGTAGAGAAAAAGGAAACCAAGAATTCTTAAAAATGCTTAAGGAAGATTATGGTTACCCAGATACTCTTGACTTTAGTGACAGATATAAAGAAGCTATTAGAAAGTTCAAGGAAGGAAATACTGACCCGAACCTATTTAGCTTTATGGTTCAGCATCAAATCGGATATAATCTCAAACCTGGAAAATACAAGCTCGCTAAGGGATATGATTTAATAGCATATCATCCAAATGACATGAATGAATTTACTCCGAGATATTTGATGTCAGAGCTAAATGATAATTCAACTCTCTTCATGAAACGCGTAAAAAATAGAGACGGAACGAAAGAAGAAAGGTTTATGAGTCCGAATGACTTAGATAGGGAACTTGTTAAAAACGGTCTCGGAATATATGAAATGCCAGCAGATGAGGTACAAGAAACTCAACAGGAAGAAGTTCAGATACAACCAGACATGGAAGAAATAGTTCAGCAACAACAGCTAGAAGAGCCTGAAGGAAACGAACAAGTCCCTCCTTTGGAAACTAACTTCACAGAACTAGATGAAGATTTGGAACAGCCGAAAAATCTTGACCCTCAACAAGTGTATGCGGAGAATATGGAATCTTTCCAAGAGTCTAAGAAAAATTCGGCTGACATAGTAGAAGAATATCGAAAAATGTTCACCGACATACAAAGGACTCCAACATCAGATGAAAATATTCAGCATAGAATGGAAGTACTGAAAGATAATGTACGCAAATACAATAATCCTTTTTACTTACGACCATATAACGTTCAATCTTTGGCTGAACTCGGTGAAAATAAAAGGTTAAATTTCAACAAAACATATAAAAATGAAACATTGTTTAAAGTTCATTCAGAACCTAACCAATATGGAAACAAACCTACTTTGTTTCTGCAGACTATGGAACTACAATGAGATGGGGTCATAAAGCTAATCCGGATAGGTGGTTCATAAACTTACAACCTCAATTCCAAGAAGTTGTAGACGCAATGGAAGTGAATGGTGAACCAGATATAACGGGTATTTTCAGCGCGGCTTTAATGCCATTGAAAGATATGAAAGATGCAGATATTTTGGACCAGTATGAAATGAACATGGCTGAGGGAAATATAACACCTGACGTTCTAGAACATTTATCTCAAAGAACTACACAGAACCATAGAGATGGTATATTTGGTGAAGAGTTTAGAAAGAAAGTTAGAGAGAGAAGGAAGAGAACCTATTGTACATGACCTTGCAAACGAAAGTTTGCAAAATGTCATAAAAACTTACTTTGCAGACAATGAACTGAGAAGGGATGAATATTTAAGAAAACTCAAATGGACAGTACCAAATGAAATGTTAGTATTGAAAAACATGTTCCTTGACAAAAATAAAACCAACTACAGAAATAAATGACGCAAGACTGAAACATTGGGTAAAAGCTTTCCCATTCACAAAAGATATTATTGGTAACATGGAAAGAAAACCAGAATGGCTACAAAAACATATATTTGGAAACGAGCTTATTCCATATGGACAAGCTCTGTTTGAAGAGCTTGAACCGGAAACTCAGGAAAGAGTCATGCAAACAATACGCGAAGACTCAAATACAAACTATGACAAAATCTTTCTAGGATATAGGTTACCTGAGATGGGCGACCAGAGCCCAAAGGCAAAAAGGACATGGGAAATTTACAACATACTAGGTGAACATGAGGCAAAGATGCAACAACTTGAAGCAGAAGACAAGTTA